ACCTCTTTGTATGTCTCTTTTTGTCGCCTCTTTTATGTTTCTTGGTCCTGAGCTCATGATGTATTTTTGAAACACAGCACGGCATCAGTGATAAAAAATATGACCCTCTGTCCCCCTGCCCCAGCTTTGAACCTCAAAGTGATTGAAGACTCTGTCCCTTTGTAACTGCCATAGGTTATTTCTGAGCACCAGCTACATTGTAGGATCAGATATAAGCTTCATCTGTTTCTCTCTAGGTATGTCATAGTGTTATGGTAGCAAAGTAACAGCATGTGCAGGATACCTGCTTGTCAGATCCCCAGATGAGAGTGAGGAGCATTTGAATAGACTAGATCAAGGTCTATATTTGCTAGTTCTAATAAGTAAGATTAGATTTCTAGGATAGAATTTCTTACATCATACTGCTTTAGTGCTTTTGAGCACATGTGTTTGAACAACAATAGGGGAGCCTGTGTGGCATAATGGTTTGAGTGTTCGACTTTGTTTTCAGAGACTATGGAAATACACTTTTAACAAGTCACACACTTACCATTAGATAAAATCAATGGCAAACTCTTGCTGAACCAATTTTGCCAACAGAACCCCATGATAGGTTCACCCAATGCATATAACAACAAAGGGTATAAGCAGAGTTGATCTCTGTGTTCCTGGCAGTTATTAGGTGCCCCTAGTGGCACAATGGGTTAAACCCTTGTGCTGGCAGGAGTGCTGACCGAAAAGTTGGCAGTTCAGATCCGGGCAACAGGGTGAGCCCCTGTCTGTCAGCTCCAGCTTCTCAATCAGGGACATGAGAGAAGCCTCCGACAGGATGGTGTCCCCTGGGCAATGTCCTTGCAGATGGCCAACTCTCTCACACCAGAAGCTACTTGCCGTTTCTCAAGTCGCTCCTGACACGGAAAAAAAACAGTTATACTTTCTCTTCAGAGATGTGGACAGGTAAAGGACTTTGGTTGTACTGCCAACTCCAGTCCAGTGTATGGAAGCTAACTGGAGTGACAGAATTTTACCTGGACATGGGATCATGACACGGCATTTTATATGTGATTTTAATCTGTTTGATATATTGTTATGTGTTTTAATTGCTTATATACTTAGATTGTTTATATTTTTATGAGATGTGTTTTATTATTTACCTGTGTGGCTTTGAATTTTTGCTGGATTTGTAAGCTGTCTAGAATCCCCTCCTGGGTCAAGAAAGGTGGGGTGGAAATGAAGCAAATAAATAAATAAATAACCTCTGAATTTGTCAATAGACAGCATCCAGGATTTCATGGCACTTTCAGAGCCAGTGCATGCTGTAGCAAATATTGTTTCGTTTTAAATTTTAAAAATGACCGTAGCATCTGAGGCTACCAGTACATTCTCATCCAGCAATGTAGTAATGTAAGGTCCATGTAGTAATGTAAATCCTAATCTGTAAAGCTGAGGGGTTTTTTTTTAACAATGCAATCTTCCTAGTCTTTCAAAAAGAGCTTCTCTATGCAAAACCTATGCAAAGCCTCAGCAGTTGTCCAACAGATTTTCATGCAGAACCTTCCCAGTGTAGATATCAGAGTTTCTGATCCATGCAAAGCCTTTCCAGGTTTAAAAGAGTATTTATCTTGTCACCAATCAGATATAAGTGCAAAAGATGGTAAAGACGTGATATCAGCTAGAAAGAACATGACATTAAAAAAAACCCACATTTCTCAAATGAGGGGAAACCATCATTGATTTGCTGGCTAACAACAGGACCTGCCAGTGTTCTTTGAACAGTGGAGGAAACCAGGTTTCTGGATCCAAATGCTACTATATGCTTTTGACACAGCAGCTGATCCGTGTTAATCAGCAATGACAATGAGGGAAGAGAAAACCGACACAGTTAAGGTTCACGATCTTTTTTGTCCCTTCTGGTGGGTTAATGGCTTAAATTGTTATCTGTCAGGCACTTGAAGAATAGAGCTATCATTAGGAATCAATTTCACATTAGTAATCTTACCAAATCAAGGGCAGTGAGATCGTCAGTGAGCTGGTTTGACTGCAAGAATAAAAAAAGGGATATTGGAAATCTAAAGGGGGATAGGACTTAAAATGATTCCTTTGTTAAACCTACAGAAGCTCAAGAGGGGTGTGGATCACTCAAGCTGTGAGCTGTAGAAGCTTCACTAGTCATGCTGGGATTGACAGTTACCCTTTAGTATACCAGTAAGCATCAGTGTAACAGGAACCGAAATGAGAGAGTATTGGGAAGATGAAACCTGTCACAGAATAATTCCACCATTTCTCATACCTTTGCTCTTGTGAAACACAAAGGGAGAGATCCCACTGTTTCTTCACAGATTTTCTTCTCCTTTTTGCTAAATTATCTTGAGCAACCACTCAGTTTCAATTAAGAAAAAGCCATTTTCCCCACATCCATATATACCCGCATTTCTTTCAAACGGAAATAACTCGCCTCTGACTGACAGCACCTGAAGAACAGTATTTTTTGAAAAGCCTGAAAAAAGGATTGAACACTGCAATTGTGTAATCACTCCTTTCCCTGCTGGGGTTTTAAATCTTTTAGGAAAAAGGTAGAGCCTCTTTAGTTGTTAAGTGCATATGTGTCATTTCAACTGTTGGGTGTCTTCAAGAGTAGAGAGGATGTTTCTAATCTTAAAATCTCTTAATCTCTTCTTAAAATAAACATTTCATACCCATGTACATTTTCAGCACAGTAAAGTACTGCTGTATTTTTACAATTGTGGTACTCTTAAAAAGTTGCTCCATTAAATCAAACAATTGATGGATCCAACAATGGTGGCACATCCCTTGGTTATATCTGAACTTCAAGGCAGACTAACACCCATATCCTGATTTTACTGTATCTTTTCTAAATGTTGAGCCCCCTGGTGGTGCAGCGGGTTAAACTGCTGAGCTGCTAAACTTGCTGACCGAATCCAGGGAGCAGAATGCACTCCTGCTGTTAACTTCAGCTTCTGTCAACCTAGCAGTTTGAAAACATGCAAATGGGAGTAGATCAATAGGTACCACTTTTGCGGGAAGGTAACAGCGCTTCATGCAGTCATGCTGGCTGCATGACCTTGGAGGTGTCTATGGACAACGCTGGCTCTTCAGTTTAGAAATGGAGAGGAGCACCACCCCACAGAGTTGGACATGACTAGTCTTAATGTCAGGGGAAACCTTTACCTTTACTTTACCTTTCTAAATGTCATTTGTAGATTATGCCTACAGATTTTGAATGAAACCTTTTGCAAATACTATACATTTTTGCACCGGGGTAAGATTCCATTTTGAGGAGGATCTTTAGAGCTATATAACAGCAGAGGAAGAGGTTAAGAGAAGAGGACAGATCCAGAGACACAATTTAAATTTCTGTCCTGCAAACCAGACTTTGTTCATTGTAGATCTTGCTGATCTGCAAATAAGAGTTCTTGTTCTATGCAAAGCCTTTCTAATCTAACTCTAAGATCGACAGGAGAGGCCCTGGTGTCAGTCCCACCATCCCCCCAAGCACAACTGGTGGAGATGAGAGACAGGGCCTTCACAGTGGTGGCCCCTCGCCTGTGGAACCTCTACCCAGTAACATTAGATTGGCCCCCTCCCTCTTGTCCTTTAGAATGAAACTCAAAACCTGGTTATGGGACCAAGCATTCAAATAGTAGAGGCAGCAATTTGGAATGAGATCCAATTTGTGTGAATGACAACGGACTGACCTGGATTATGATTTCAAACCTGCATGATTTAAACAATGTTTTAGTAAGTTTATGTTTTAATTGTTTTTATCATTTATTACTGTTGTTGGCATTGAATGAATTGTGAAGCCTCCCTGAGTGGGCTTCATAATTCAGAGGACGGGATATAAATATGTTAAATAAATAAATAAAATAACCTGCAAACCAGTGCTCCTGTTCCATGCAAAGCCTTACCCATTGGCCAACAGAGACCCTGTTACATACAGTGTGTAAATCAAATCTTCTAATCCACGTAAAATATTTCCATGCTCAAAATAGTTAGTTATCTTCAATTATTGATCAGAGATAAGGGCAAAAGATGTTTTGGACGAAAAATGGGCAGTTTCTGCAGGCGGGATTAGGCCCATATTTTGGAGTTTCATCTTCTTGTTTATATATTAATATTAATTTATCAGATTGTGTATGAATATTATAACACTAACTTCTAGGTAGAATTCAAAGACATAGCTGTGTTAGTCTGAATTAGTATTCAAAATAATATTTTAGTTGTGCTCTGCAAAAATATTACATTTTGTACAGAAAATACCATTTTGGACAAAAAATGTGTGAATTTAACATAAAACAAAACTTGTCTTGTGAAGCAAGAAGAAGTTTATTCAAATTAAGGTCCAAAAATGTTTGTACTGGAGCCTGAAATGAAGTATTGTGAAAGATGTGTACACAGTTAAGAACTGAGGGCAGAAGCTAATTAACTAGATCACAAAAAAACCTCAAATTGCTCCACTTTGGCTAATAGCTGTGGGAGATACTATTCAGCTCAGTGAAATGAAATGAACAAAAATGCCAGTTCGGAATATTAGGTTGAAACAAACTGAATTTTTTTTTTATTCATTGTTTCCTCTTGCATTTAAGAAACCTATTTTTGTAAGTAATTTGTATGGCTGCCCAGGGGTGTAGCTATGAGAAGGGATCAAAATGAAGACATTGTCCCCAATAAGAATTCTGACCTCTTGCAAATGAAAATGTACTTCATTCTCGAAATTTGTAGCATCCCAGAGAGTGAGACACTGAAAATCATTTATACCAGAGGTCTTATATTTGCTGCGTTCTAACTCTCTCTGCAGTTTTGTGTGTCCCTTTTCCATTGATGTATAAACTGTACTTCTAATTGCTCAAGTGAGATTTTAAGTAACAGTAATACTAGAAATTTGGAGACTTCGAACAATTTCACTGGGGACAGCAACCTCATTTTGACCCCTAAAACTGCCTGGCACATTCTTTGTTATTTATCTAACCAGATATTTATATTCTACTTTTATTAAAAAGGTGATGATCAGATGGAGAGAAAAGGACAAGTTTTGATTCTTTTAGTGGAACAAGCGCTACGATTACAGGATTACAAAGCAGCAAATATGCACTGTCAGGAGCTTATGGCTTCAGGTAAAGTACATTCTTTCTTCTCTCATATGCCCATATAGACATACACACAACCCTAAAATAATTTCATGATGTGTAGTAGAAAATGGTGCTTAAATATAGTTCAATATGGATATCAGATGTCCTTCAACTGATCTGGCAATCCCTTACCCCGCTTCCCCATTCATCAACCCTAAAGCTGAGTGAGACTGTTTATTTGTTATTGCTTCCTGAATTATTGAAAAATGTATTTCCCCAATAATCAGAATGGAGAGGGGAAGTATATGCTTTCCAAACTGTGTTGTGTCACAACACAATAGTATGTCACCTGCAATGTTGCATGAACATAAGGGAAAATGACACAAATCTTGAAAATGTATGTTAATATATTACAAATCATATATTTTAAAATATATAAATGAAAGGTTTTCATGAGATATGTTGTGTCTAATTTTGCTATTACAATGTATGTATGTGTCTGTATCACTTATAAGGGGTTGTTTTAACTTCTGGTTTTTCTAGTAAAACTGAATTATTCTGTCTTGAAACAATACATATCCAAAAAGTGTGTCATCAACATTAAATGTTTGAAAAGCTCTGTATTATAGAGTGATGGAAAAATACTTGATGATGACATACAGTTAGCTATTGTGTTACAGATAATAAACAGAGGACACGGTTGTTCCTGTATGTACTTTGAAACCAAATCTGATCAAGTATTTGATCAAGTACAAAACGATAACCTGGATGCATTCATTTCATCCCATAAGCAATGCTTGGTCTTCCAAAAGATTCTTACTTTGATGTAATTTCAGCTTTTTGGGAAAAGCTCTTGTAATGTTTGTGTTTTTTAATGTATAAATCAGGCTATACTAAAAGCTGGGATGTTTGCAGCCAGTTAGGACAATCTGAAGGTTACCAAGACACATCAGTTCGGCAAGAACTCATAGCCTACGCTTTGACACATTGTCCCCCAAGTGCTATAGAATCATTGTTGGCAGCAAGTCGTACTCTGCAAACCGAGGTTCGTATTCCATTTTTTAATATTCCTTTAAAATTTCTTTAAAAAGGTTATTCTTCTGTGCAAACGTACTAATGAACTAATGGAATGAAATATTGAACAATGCACTAGCAATATTTGTAGACATAGTTTATCTTGCTTCTTGAGTATAGTTAATATTTTAACTAGAACTTCAGCATAAAACTTGTTCATTTTGCTACAGAGTATGAACAGAATTCAAATTTTCTTCCAACCAATTTAAAAGATAATGTGAGTTTAATACAGAGAAAATGTTAGAAGAAAGAAAGACCCTGTCAAACCATGATGCCTTTTTGTTGCTTTTCAACAAACATCTAAAGAAGAAAAATAGTTCAGATTTGTGATAGCATGTGACTTGTAAGGCAGCAAAACATCTTCAATAGAAAGGCTGATACATTACTGCCACCTAACCTTGCTTTGCCCCTTCCTTTTTCTTTCTCGTGGCTTTAGTTCACAACCAAATGCAGATGGCTTGTTGTTTCCCTGCAACAACATTTGGAAGCTTGAGTGCTGCCCAAATGCAGTCACTCCAGAACAAGTCTTGCCTGTCCAAATAATTTGCAAGAACTGATTGATTGGAGAAGACTTAACACAAATGCAGTTTTACTTCTGTTTTATCTACTATATATTTTGGGTTACTGTGAGTTTTCTGGGCTGTATGGCCATGTTCCAGAAGCATTCTCTTCTGATGTTTTGCGCACATCTATGGCAGGCACCTTCAGAGGTGGTGACATTCACATTTGCCTCAAGCTGACAAGAATTATTCCTCCCACCCTGGATATTCCACATATATATAAACCCTACTTGCCTGGTTTCCAACAGACCTCACAACCTCTGAGGATGCCTGCCATAGATGTGGGCGAAACGTCATGAGAGAATGCTTCTGGAACATGGCCATACGGCCCGGAAAACTCACAGCAACCCAGTGATTCTGGCCATGAAAGCCTTCGACAACACATTACTACAGATTCTTTTAAAACTTTATATGTTCCTTAAACTTTTCTCTTGCTTCGAGTGGGAATGATGGATTTCCATCATATTCCTTTCTGCTCTTCAGCTAGTTATGTTTTTAACACTTTTCATCCTTTCCTTGCATTTTGTTGAAATGCATAGCATGTGTTATCTCCACCTTCTCACCCTATATCTCTATTTCTGTGTGTTTGGCACAGTCTAGTCTATTTGATTGTTTATATATTTCTTCTACAGAAATTCATTTTCTTTTTACAGTTTTTGGAAATGTAAAATTGAAATACGACAACATAAAACATGAGCAAACATTTTTCATGCCTAAAACTACCAAAACAATTTAAGGGATTGAACTGAGTGGCCCTTGTGCTCTCTTCCAATTTTTTGATTCTGTGATTTTAATTTTTAAAGAAAAAGTCCTGCTCACTTGTACCTTCCTTTCTTCAAAGGGGTGGGTGGGTAAAAAGGCACCATATGTAAGGGAGATGGTAAACATTTTCTATATATTGAATAGTTTAACAAACCATTATGAATTCATCCTTAGATACTTTACCATGCTGTCAACTATCAAATACGGCCTTCTGAAAAAATAGAAAACATAAGTACATCCAGGTCATCAGGTGGAATGAAAACAGAGTCATCTCTTGAGGTAACAATTTGGGTTTTTTTTTTGTTTTTTGTTTTAGGATAGTGGCTTCTTTTTGATTTAATTTGTTGTTGTTTTAATGGTAGTCTGTCACATAGGTGGAAATGAGGTAAGTTCTTAGTCATTTGAATATTCTTTTCTTTCTCATTTTATTTTCCTGGCCAGGTTTCTGTGCCTTCCCTTATTTTGCAGTTTCTTTTTTTTCAGCTTCTTAAGTTTATATCTGTCTTTCAACCAACTTTTGGCTCTTTATTAGCTTTGATGGACAGTATCCAATGCCAGATTTTTGTTGGAAAATCTTAATCCAATGGACACATGAGTGGGAGGTGATCTCCTTTTCCTAATGTTCCTTGAAACTAGTTCTGATATGGTTGAAAAATTCACAGGGACAGTGAGGGAAGAGTTGTGCTGATGCTGCTGCACTTGCATGACATTGGACTTTATTGGCAAATCCTCTTTATTCAGATTTCTCCATGTTTTAGGCTGCCCTAAACCCTTTTAATCTTCTGTTTAGAAGTATCTTGAGTGAATGCAGCTGTAAGGTTATTTGCAGTCGTCTCAATGGTCCTATCTCCCAGTATCTCCATGTTGAAAGGGAAGAGGGAAGTCTGCTATGATCTAGAGTCATGTTCCATTACTATTCTTTATCCAAAATGGGGAACATGTGGTCCTTTCTTTGTATGTTATTCAATAATAACTACCTTGATTTGTAAGTTCTAGAACATGATTAGATCAAAAAACAAAGTCCTCTCTTCCCCCAAGCTGGGCATAATGTATTGCGGTAGAGCTTGGTCTTCCACTTATAGTCAATGAAACGGTCTAATATTATCCCTGCCTTTTGAGCAGGTGGTAGAAGTAATAGTTAACTAAGGCATAATAATTTCAGCCATAATTTGTTATGCTTTATGTCTAAATGTTCTTTTATGTTTATGTTTTGATATGGTTAGGTAAATGTATAGTTATATGTTATTGTCTTGCTGTTATCTTTTGTTTTTTCACATGTATGTACAGCATTGAATTTTGCCTTTATAATGTTGGAAACCTCTCTGAGTTCCCTTAGGCAGAGAAAAGCGGTATATAAATGTAGTAAATAAATAAATAATAAGTAAAAGCACTTTTGCAGAGCAATAAGTCCCAATGTTCCATTATACCTGATCTGCCATGTTTTGAAGAGTTCCTTTTCATATACACTTTCAGAGACCTGCCTAGGAAGAAGGTAGAATCTCTTTTTAATTGCCTCTTTTCTTGCTTGCCGCCCGCACTTGCTCTTCTTCTGTAATACATTGAAATCATGTCTGTGTCAAATTTAGAATACTTGGACAAAAAAGATCTTGATGAGTTGTCACATCCCTATCGCTTCAGAAGTATTATAACTGTCTCTTTAGAGATTAAAATATAGTCATAAAATGTGTTATTCATTAATGTTAGAACAAGTAAGTTTTTAGTCATTCTTGAGATGCAAAAAAGTCTTCAAAATCCAATTTTTGCATTTTTGAACTTACTCTAACCACAAGTTGGACATGACTTTTGCAATCAAGTTCAAAGACTGACATGGTTGAAGACAGATTGAGTTGGATCCTGCTGTTTAACCCACAGTATGCAAAATCATTGAATCAATTTTTGAATGGTGAACATTTTCTTGACTAAGCAAGATTAGGAGAAATTAAAATTTGTATAAATATTTTTCTTCTCGTTGAAATATGGTTAGCTTTGTGAGATATTGTTCACAAAATATGCGGAGGGAGTGCAATACTTTTTGCCAAAAATAGTATTTTGTTCTTCTTGTTTTGTTTTGTTTTTTTACTATTTTTGCTGCTGAGCAAAAGTGTTGTTCATTTTTATACTGCACAGGTATGGAAGATACCATAGCATTTGACAGTTTCTTCAACAATGTCAGGCATTTGAGAATATTTGCACTACTATTTTAATTATGGCTCATACACCCCTCCTCCTCTCTTCTGTATCTTCACTCTTATAAGCAAATTTTCTCATCTTGCCTTTTTTTCAGAGTTAAGTGATGTAAATTCTGTTATATCTTTACATCAATTTAAATTCTGGCAGTGTTGTCTGTAACCAGACCAGTGGTTCTAAACCATTGGTCCTCCATATGTTTTGGACTTCTGATCCCAAAATATGTCATCGTGGACCATGCTGGCAGAGGCCTCTGAAGTACAAAACATCAAGATTTGAGAATCCCTAAACTACACCCTAAACATAAGTTTAAAGCATAGAGATGCTAGTTTTAATGTCATTCCATAGTTAATGTTGAACAGGAAAAGAGGATACAAAGAAAGCAAGGAAAATGGGGCTGAAAAGTCTGAATCTTACTTGTAAGTTTAGTTATATTTGGCTTTCCTGCATTGCGGCATTTAGCCAATTAAATTTATATTTACTGTAGGTCTCTTGCTAGGATCTCAGCTTGCTGCCGCCTCACCAAGAAGGCTCATGAGGATTTTGGTATTGCTGTTTGCAAAAATTAACCTAACAATATTTATGATTGAAGATTAAAGAACTACAAGTGTAAATTGATACTGGACAATGGTCTTTGAGTTGGGAAAGCTCAGATTCTTGTGAAGAACCACAATAGTTTCATGTCCCTAACTACTTATGAATAATACAGGAGCATTGAATGCAGCTGAGTGGTGCGGTAGGTTAATCATAAACCAAGTGGCTGGTTTTGACTTTCATAACATGGAGTGGTGACTCACTTTCTGGGTTTTACTTCAAATTCCAAACTTCAGAAAACTCCTTTAATACTCTGGTATGTTACCTCATTCACATCAATGCCACTCCTGCATGATTATAAAGTTCTAATGAGAGAGAGAAAAATGTAGAGGTCTAATAGCACAAGCCTATGTACACTTACTGAGTCCAGTGCAATTTATTCCTAGGTAAGTATGTTTAGGGCTGCAGCCTTCTTTGTTCAGAAATCTGATTACACTTTCTCAAACATGTGTATAGAAATGATCTTTTCCAACATCAATTGCTAGTGTGGGTTATAGTTGCAGACAAGAAAAAGAAAATCATTTTCATCAACCATACTTGTTCAAAAAAGAATAAAATTAGCTCAGAGAAGTAGCATATATTTTTTTTCTTTCCTTAAATACAGCTCATTGCATCTTTTTCCCATTTATTTTCAAAGGAGAGTGGAAATGTTACCATATTTTGCTCAGCATGCAGTCCTTTATTTAGGAAAGAAAGAACTAAAATTTGAAATGATTATTCAGTGGTTGGTAGGAGGCCTTCCCTTTATATCTTTTTATAACTATTAATGATAGAAAGCCTCACACTTAAGCTTTCTGTCGGGTGCAAAAGTGTTATTTCTTTTAAAATATATAATAGTACATTTTAGTTAATGTATTTCTCTCATGATTTCTGAACCCTCGATCATTATCATGTATTATTTCTTTATCACGTAACATGTGATGTTCATATCTAAATTCATGGAATAACAAGGGAATAGTGTTCATAGAAATATGATCTCATATTCATACATTTGCTCTTCAAGAGCATATAATTAATTGGTACTGACACCTGCATTTTTATGCCTCCAGAGGAGATACCCTTCATGATTTTCCATTTGACCTCTGATAATGTTATGACATGATATTTCACATCTGTCCTACATACATATATATGGACAGGAGCACGGGACACCAATCCTGCCTTCCATGTCTCTAGATAACCACAATGTTATGACATTTAAGCACAATCTGCTGATAGGAGATTTAATGTTTGCATGGCAATCTTGCATGGTCAGGTTTTAAATAACACATTGGAATCAGCTGTGCAATCTGGATCTATGATTGTTCAGTTTTTATGTGAGTAGGTTTGATTTGAGCCATTTATCTCTGTTGGAATATATCCGAAGATGTGGAAACAGTCTTGGCATGTCAGAGGCTGAAGCAATCTCTCTCTCACTCTTTACATTAGCAATGGGAAACTTTACAAACTGTGTACACCATAAGCACACTCTGGTGGACCTCTGAGGGCTACACCGCCCATTTTTAAGTAGAATTTTTTTTTTGTTTTATTCCCTCCCATACACAATTTAAGCACAAAAGGGACCTTTTTTTCTTCAGAACCAGAAGTGACAAGAAGTGATCTCTGTTTGTTTAAAAAACAAACAAACATACAACATTACCGCCATACTGCTCAGATGTTCAGAGAGGCTGCCTTCAATTTCTTAAAATAATGAAATTAGAGGTGGGGAACTCTATTAGGTTCCGTCACAGCAGCGTGTTGGCTATCCTATGCCTCATGTTGGCTATGCCTATAGGTTGACGGGGTGATATTCTAAAGTGTATAGCCCTTTATCTCTTCTTCATTTTCATCAGGATACTTAAAATGAATTGCTGGTGAACTTTTACATGGTCTGGGGCAATTCTACAAATTAAACTTGTTGTGTGTGGACAACTTTTTGGGTCTAGAAGGTTTTTAGAGATGATTAATCACATAAGTAATGTTTTATGGACATTTTAGAAAGACATTAGTTTGTGTCAAAAGAATTTGTGGTTCTTGGCTAACTCATAACAACACATTTGGTTGGGTTTACAAGTCAAACTACTCTGACAGAGGGAAACTTCCTTCTTCTGGAATAGCATCTAGTCCAGTGGTTCCCAACCTTTGTTGACCAGGGACCATTTTGTGTGTATAAGTGTAACATGCACAGATATCTATAACAACAAATACAAAAACTGCAGATTGCAAATCACAATTCTATATTACAGGAAATTCTTCATTAAATGTAATGTGTGAACATTAACACAATTTGACCAAGGACCACTCTCCAACATTAGTACCAAAAAGGTTACAAATCAGTTTTTGGTCAACTTTAGATTTGGTTTGGTTATTGAGGTTGCTGATTCAGAAAATTTCATTGGATAGACCACATCAGCTCTTGTTTCTGATACAGAACATATGCAATCCAGTAGTTGCCATCTGCTCGCCCACAGAAAACCATATTTAATAATATAGAGCTAATGTGGTAGTAGTAAACTTTTGTGAGTAGTCAGCCTCTCCCCTCCCAACATCCCCATTGCCTCGGCACTATAAGAGGGTTTTGCGAGACCATTTGCTCTCATTGTCACGTGGGTTTTGAGGCAACAGTGTAGTAATGGTTAGGCCATGGACAATATTTTCATTCTTGTGGATCACTGGTGGTCCTTGAACCACAGGTTGGTAATCATTGATCTAGACTATCATACCAAATCCCACCCACACACCCTCCCCGACACACATCCACCCACACACCCTCCCTGGTAATGTGAAAGTATATTCTTTTGTGCAAAACAAGCATGTAATTGCAACAGGCTTTTACATAAACTGAGATCCATTTGATTAATGCAGTATTTTTTGATGTTCTGGTATCAACTACTATAACCTCAAAGTGTTAGAAATGAAACTTTTTGACTGCTAACTATCAGAAGCTTTATGTTCTAACTTCCTTCTCACCATTGGGAATGAAAGCTCCCAAAGCAACCCTTCACTGATTTCATCAGTTAAAGATTCATTTAGCCCCTTGATATCTTACTGTCTTAAACACATAGTGCTAATTAATATTCTCAACTAGTACAACAGCCCATTTAAAAAAACATCAAACAGCACTTCAGCATTGTGGTGTTTTGGATCTTAGAAGAATGCGGTTAATCACCTAGAACATATATTTGAGTTACTAATAAAACAGAAATCTTGAATTATTATGGCAATATAGCAAGATATTTCAGCTTTCCTCTTTTTCAGCTACCCTGCATTAAAATATGTAGTAACTATGTTTGGTATTGTAAAATACAGAACAATTATGACAGTGTACAATATAAGTGGCTATTAACTGCAATGTTAATTTTAATTCAGTGAAAAAAACATGGTCTACCAAGTATTTTCAGTACCAAATCCAGTGTCTATGCGTTATATGTGCTTGCGTTGCCCTTTATCTAAATGTGTGCTTACAATGTACATGAAGTTTGAATTTGGCTTCACTGTTATGGTAATTTGAACACTTTTTAATGCATGTTTTCCAGTTGTTATATTAACAGAAAACGTGTCTGGGAGAATGTATTTAATCCTTATGGGTTGTGTGTTGCATGAACTCACAGGTTGACAACCATATGCTCTCTAGTCAGTCGACTGACTTGTTGCAGTGGACCACATCTAAAACTATGAAGGTGCTTTCTGATACAACACTGACCACAAAAGCTATGCTGCATGCTGTTAGTGATCGCCAGTGGTGGAAGAAGTCACTAACTTACCTTCGTCCATTACATGTAAGAAGTAACTATATGTTCATCCTTCAGCTCTTTGATATTAGATGTCCAGCTAGCTAGCTAGCTGTCTTTGGGTAGCGGTGTTTGTTTTGCTCTCTGTTCCCCTGAGCAGAAGATTTCACCTCACTTTCTGTCTTTGTGGCAATTGGAGTTTTAAAGGTGTGGCTGGTTGTGAAAACAAGGATTGGTGTTTCAGCGGAGACCCCTTTCCCCATGATAACTCTTCCAAGAGTGAATTTCCCTTCCTAGGGTAGATTTCCTCTCAATTCCTGTTGTCTCACTCCTGTTTGTAACTAGTTTGTAAGATGGATGTCTGCAACTTTGTAATGTTTGTAACTTGAAGACTAGGAGCCCCCGGTGGCGCAGTGGGTTAAACTGCTGTGCTGGCAGGACTGAAGACTGACAGGTCGCAGGTTCGAATCTGGGGAGAGGCAGATGAGCTCCCTCTATCGACTCCAGCTCCTCATACGGGGACATGAGAGAAGCCTCCCACAAGGATAATAAAAACATCAAATCATCCGGGCGTCCCCTGGGCAACGTTCTTGCAGACGGCCAATTCTCTCACACCAGAAGTGACTTGCAGTTTCTCAAGTCGCTCCTGACAAAACAAACAAACAAAAAACCTTGAAGACTTTCTGTACTTAGTTATTCGCTATGTTATTTTTTTAAAGTGGGCCTGTGAGGGTGAAGTGAAAATCCATGAAAATATTATGTATCTATATTACTGTTTAATTATTTTACCTTGAATATATCAGCATAGATTCTAATTTACCCACACGAATACACTGCGGTACAATCTCTCTTCATATCTGATGAAAAGTTCACATTTCTTGTGAGAGGCCACATCATTTTAACATCTTGCTTCTCGGTGTTTTGCTCTTGAAAGGGTCAAGAGTTTGGAGATGTATTAAAAAGCACCAGTGGAGCAAATGCAGCGATAGAAAAACAAGGCTGTCATCCATTCTATGAATCTCTGATAGATAATCCATACCTTGCAGAAGTAAGTTTCAAATGCACTCTTTTAAAGATGTCAAAACCAGTTCATTTTAGGGCAATAATCAGTTGGGTCTGAATGTTTAAATTGGTTACGGTGGTTAAATAATTATCTTCACTAAATAGTGAATCATTCTGATTTGCATGTTACTGAAAAATTAATGGGTGTCAAGCAGGGATGCTATATTTGCAGACAAGGAGCAGAGTAAAAAAATCACATCAAAATTAAAATCTTGTTACATTGCTTCACATCTCTGCTCTGTAGAATGAAGTTTCCTACACTGCATTCCAGCACAATCCTTCAGAAAGCTTTGCAGAAGTATTGTTGAGAACAGGAAAATTGGCTTTGACAAAGAGTGAAGGCCCTGATCTCTTTCCTGCCACAGAAGGTAAACTGCATGAGTTTTATTCTGTACTTGTACGGATGTGAATTTTTCATAGGCCCATCTAATAGATGTCTAGATCACTGGTTTTTGCATTCCTCCCCTCACCAACTCAACCTGCATGAAACAGTGTGTATTGTACTATATTTTGGTACTTTACAGACTGTGTCACAACGGGCAAGCTGTTCTGTCCTTATGAAACTTATTATTTAATGAGTAACCCTAAGGAATCCCAGTGCTTTCAAAACCAACTGTTGGAAGAAAATATTGTTACTGATTGTGGTTTGATTGCTGTCACCCTGCTAACAACTCCCCTCTCCCTTGGTATGACTTGCATCACAGTACCTGGTAAACTCACTTTACTTAACTGTTATCTAAAATCTCTGAACAATTAAAATGGTGATAAGAAATCAGAAGTTCCTGAACAAGAGTCTTTGATAATGTGCTGCAACTTGAATAAAATGACAAGTATTTATCTATTCCCCTGTCTGCTGAAATCGTGTCATTCATTAATCTTCCTGGCTTGTAGAACTCTGGTTATGGGATCAATCCAACGTTTATGTATACATCATATTCCACTATGTGCTTTACTGAATAAGAACTTGGTTTAGTTTTCAGGTAACATTAGCACACAGAATCACTTCAGGGTTGCTGTGAGTTTTCCAAGCTGTATGGCCATGTTCCAGAAGCATTCTCTCCTGACGCATGTATGAGAGGCATCCTCAGAAGTTGTGAGGTCTGTTGGAAACTAGGAAAATTGGGTTTATATATCTGTGGAATGTCCAGGGTGGGAGAAAGAACTCTTGTCTGTTTGAGGTAGGTGTGAATGTCTCAATTCCCATACAGCCTGGAAAACTCACAACAACCCAGTAATTCCAGTCATTAAAGCCTTCAACAATACACAGAATCACTTCAGTTCACCAGAACCATTTCTGTGTTCGTTTCGACATGTATTCTTAACAAGTAGCCATGCCTAGAACATAAGATTCTAGAGATGTGATACATATCATAGTGATGTGATACATAACATAGAAATCATGAGCCTTGACTTTATCTTAGTTAATTGGTCATGTATGTCATCTATAGGATTCTGGAACAGTGATGTTCCCAGTGATATTTGGCCATTCATTTATCTTAGCACTGTACCATTTTCCATTTAGGAATTACAATCCACAATGAGTATTACTTGTACATTCTAGCCAAGATTGTAATTGACTTGTACTCAGATTCATCATACCAGTTCTTATTTTTCTAATACATAGGTGTTTTCTTTATAATCAGGTAAATATATTATACGGGCATTACACTTCATTAAAAGTAACGAGGTTGGAGTTTCTCTATATGTTTATACCTGTATGTGTGTGAGAGTGAGTAAGAAACAGCTTTCTTCCTATTTTGAAGATGACTTGATAAGTTGTATCTTACCAAGAAAAGGTATGCACTAAGTTTATGTCAGCATACTTCATCCTTATGCCAACTGTTCACTTCTTTCTCTGTGTGCTACAGTTGAATGATCAATTAACCATTGTCCTCATTGCGTTAAAGAATGGTAATTGAATAGAGAGAAAAAATCAGTCTGTTTTTTCCCCAAAACTGGCAGTCATCATTTTCTAGTATGAATATGATGGTAACCTGTGATTAATTAACCCAGAAAGTGTCCAGGAAAAGTGAGAGAAAGTATGAGAAATGAAACAAATACTCCAAAGATTCTTAGTAGAGATTAAGTCTATTTAGGCATCACTGCGTTATAGAAGGCCTTTAATGGGAAAGCACCAGATTTGTTGTTTAGTTCAGAGTATTTCTTGCATACAGTAATCTATTTCCAAGGAAATGTGTTAAGATCATTTGTTTTGAGGGTGGTGTGTTTTGTTTTAACAGCCTAAATCCAAATTGTATTAGTGAGCAGTTTAAAAAAATCTGTTCATTCAGCCAAGGCTACTAAAAGAGAAAAATCACCCTAATTAATTTTGTGTATACAATTGTACCTATATGGACATTCATAGAAGCCCAGTCGTTTATAACTGACTCAGTCTCATGTAGATAAATGTTACTTGCAGTTCTGAGAATATTGGCTCTCCGGGGAAATCAATCATCATTGACAAAGTGCACAAGGAGACTGCTGAATTTATACGTGCCGGGTGTCTCTCTGTGACCCATCATGGGCAATACATTTTTTTAAAAAAAGAGAATCTAATCCAGAAATTAATTATGTGCTATACTGAATAAGAAACTTAACAATTATTGTTAAACTAAAGTCTGTAGCTTAGATATAAAAAAAGTCTTGGATGGAGGGAAGCATTGTGCAGCATGTTGCTGTCGATGAATTCCATGAAAACCTCTTTACACATACTTAATGGAATATTTCCATCACTGAAATTGTATACTGTGATAACAACACAAAGAATATCAAATCCAAGATCTAATCTAGAAACAATCAGCATTGTTTTTAAAGGGAGAGGAGGAATTCAACATTTGTGGTCCTCTTTGCCCATGAGTGAAAAAGAAGTAATGGTGGAATGCAGTCTTGGTGGCCAACATTCTGCAGGGTCCAGGAACCAAAAAAGAAGGCTTAACATTTAATTGTTCAATATATGTTGCTTTTAATCTAGTTTTGCTTTAACACACACACACATGGTTTGATATGTATGAGAGAGAGAGGGAGGGAGTGGGAGAGGGAGGGGGAGAGAACGAGAAGGCTAGTTAATGTATTATAGAGAAGCCATGTAAGACTTGAAAACCAAGTAAGAGAAGACAATGCATGATTTCTATTAGGTATGTGTGAAACAGCAAAAAATCTGTTTTGTTTTAGTTTCAAATTTCGTGTCCCCCTTTGCACTCTAGGCCGGGGAACACCTATGGCCATAGCACCACACAAGAGTCCAGACTATCAGCAACCAGTTTATTGTAGAAACACTTTAAAATTATAGGAAAAAATCAGGAATAAAGAAAATAGATGTATAATCCAAAAAGGTTTAACAATATATGATAATGCAAACCCTAATCCAATTGTCTCATGCACATCCCAAGGTAACACAGTCCAGGAATAGCCGAAAAGTCGCAAGTACAGCATAGGTCCAAAAGCAAAAGGCTTACTTAATAAAACTTGAGCAGGAATATAAAAGCAAGAACATAGAAAACTTCCAGGAAACTTAAATCCAAACTCAGGCCTCGCTTCTCACTTGAATGCTACGTTGCCTGAACTAACTCTTAGGTAAACAACTTTCTAATTAATAGGCAGCCATGAAGTCATGTTTTCCCCCCACAAAATTTCTCCCCAACTTTCTCACGCAATCACTCTGACCTACAATTTTCTGCTCTGATCTGTAAATGAAGACCTTTGTTGATCTCCGTAGCCTGAGGTGTTTTTTCCTGAGAGCCTTCTGTATCACTTTATCTCTTCGCCGACTCCTCAGCTAATGTTGCAGTTTTTGGCTCTTTTGATTGACCTTGGAGCCCTGCACTTTCCTAGTCAATTCTCACAGAGGGAAGCATCATTCCTCTGACTTGAATCTTCATCACTTCAGGCCCCAGGGAATCCCACCGGCAATCCCACAATCCTCTCTAAATCATCAGTGAACCCATCAGCCTCAGGAGTCTAAGGCTGATCTCCAACATCCCTTATGCATGATAATATGCCATAAACAGTTGAGTGGTAGTGTGCATGCTTGCAGAGGAGTTGTTGCTACTTCTCTAATAATGATGGACATTTCCAAGCAGAATAGTAATAGCAACACAGTGTAAGATAATTCTCCAATTAAAATTGAGTACTAGGACATGCAGAAAGAAATTGCTACCTGCCTGAATAAAAGCAATCTGAGTCAATTATTTAAGCAAGCACCTGCTGATATAACTTCATAGTCTATCAGTGCCATCTAGGTTTAATGGCAAATTTGAAGAGTATTGAACAAACAGTGTTCCTATGGCTCTCTCCTCAGTAGGTCATCCCAGACAACTCCCAGCTCTGTAACATGGTGTTTCCATTCCTAGGGAGCTGTTTTTATTTAAAAAAAAAAGAAAAAAAAGAAAAGCATTGTCATGGGGAGGAGAAGTAGCAGCTTAATTGCTGAGAGAAAGAAATCTTGACAGCTCTGTTGACACAGCCTAGCACCTTGTAGCTGTCATTTTTTATCTGTCTTCTGAAATGAATTGCGATATTAAGATCAATACTATGGATTTTTCCACTTTGAAGTTAGCACCAATCAATGTAAATTGTTTTCTGTAATAATGTCCCAGAAGTATTAATTCTACATCATACTGAAGCTAGTATGTTAAACTAGTATGTTAAACATGAGATTTGAAATTTTATATAAAAGTATAATTTTTATTCTGAATTTTGATATCCAAAACACAGGGCTCACCTGTATTCACACACTGCATTAACAGACAAGGTCTGTGCAGTTTTGTTTTGTTTTGTGTGTTTGTTTGTTTTGTTTTTTTGAGACCAGCAACAAGGTTTTCAGCTTGTAGAAATATGTTGAGGTTGTTTTGTTGTGTTTGGGGGAAACTTGTAATCGCACTGTAATGTCTGCCAATTTTCAGATGATGACAGTCATATATTACATCTGGTGCAGTTCAGCTGTAATGTATATTCTATGTACACTAGGGAATAAGCTCTGTTGAAGGCAGTGGCACTTATTTCTGAATGAGCATAGGGAAGATTGCTTATGAATGCGTATATTTTAAAAATTAAGCCTCAATTCTCAAGTTGTCCATAATGAAAAACTAATTCATTCAGTTGACGTATGTGAATCCCAAACATCCCAAACATGCTTGACTTGAAATGTCAGCATGTATTGACAGTCCTGTCAGTTTGTCAATCTGGATGCCACTTACCACTCTTCTGCAATTGCTTCATTGAAGGAAGAGTCATGTAAGATTTCTACTGTTGTTTTCTTCCAAAGAGAGGCACGTAGATATTGGAGTCCCTGGCCCAGATATGCCGTCTATCATATAAATTTGGGATTTTCCAATGAGTACCTGAGATCCATGAGCCATGACATAGTCCCAAAGGTGACCCCCACACTAGGATCTTGATCTATATTGTAGAGAGGCTTTCTGAGGCTCAGAGTTTTCCCAAACTACATTATCTCTCATGTTGAACCAAGTAGTCAGCTGTTCAGACTGGGAGCAGCTTTCCAGGTTTTTATGATGATGGTCTTTCCCTGTCCTTTCAAAAAGTTGTAGTGATAGACCATGGAGTCTTTTACATGAAAATCATGCCTCAGGGCTGTGGGCTGTCTTTAATCTTGTTTGGTAGCAGTAGGCACAACTTACGATGACAGTAAGGATGGGGAACAAGTATTACTATTTTCTTCATGTTTTTCCCCTCAGACATTTAATAAAATAGCCAATTGATATTTGATTACAATATAATCTTCTGGTTCTGTCCTGCCTCACTAGCAATAGTTTCCCTATTGCAGTGGTTCCCAACCTTTGGGCCTCCAGGTGTTTTGGACTTCAGCTCCCACAGTTCCTAAGCTGGCTGGGATTTCTGGGAGTTGAAGTCCAAAACACCTGGAGGCCCAAAGTTTGGGAACCACTGCAATAGGGAAACTCCAAAGTGCAGTGGTAGAAGACGTTTTTTTCTATGTAGAAAGTTTCAAATTCAGTCCACAACATTTTCAGGTATGGTTGGAAAAATCATTCGGCATAAATTCTGGACAACTACTGCCAGTCACTACAGATAGAGCTCAACTACATGAACCAATCAGCTCCCTACGCCCCACGTTCCTCAAAAAATAATGCTATTTATTTCCAGTTCTCACTGTAGGAATATCTACCATTTTAGCTTGGTGGTATGTTTTCACAACACATTTCCACAACTCCTCCACTGCTATGAAGGTTTGTAAAATGGCAAAAGACTTGTTGCATTCTTTGTAGGATAAAAAGTTGATTAATAATTGAATCATGTGCTACTTTAAAAAAAATGTGATAAGACATGCAGATGTTCAGATTGTAGGGAATGAAGTATTGCAGGCTATCCCATAGCCCATTTTTTCAAACTCTTCATAACTTATACTGTTGCTTTACTTTTACAACCAGCAGATTTACGTGCTGTAAATCAGCATGAAAGATGTTTCAGCCCTTCAGTTTAACATCTGTCACGGCTCTATTTCATCTTGTTTCAATAATGCACAAAACACTCTAGCTAGGAGTTAAGCTTAAACAGGGTTGGGGTTTAACTACACATTATTTGTTTTTGGCTGCATATTAGTACTTAGTTGAATGGGTACCGGACCTGTAGATCTAGAGAAATATGGTTAGTAATCAAAATATTAAATATGGTATGTGTGACAGCCAGAGGGGTCAGTATCTGAAGATTTCCTTTATTTCTCTGTCTGTCTTGCAGTCCTGTTACAGCTGGCCAGTGAAGCATTACCAAATGATATGACCTTATCCCTTGCCTACCTCCTTGCATTGCCACAGGTATGTAAAAAGATGGGATATGTTTTTCTCTTCTAGTCTCCCACAGAATTCAATCCCATGTGAAGCATCTTCCTCAGCTCGGCATGCTTCAACTCAACAGTTGATTTTCCTTTCCAAGTGTGTTTTGAACAAACTTCGATATTCTGGAAAGGGATTGGTAAAAGAACAAACAATACTTTCTTTAGAAAAATAATTTGCTCAGACTTTTCAATCTGCCAATCCTTCCGGTTCGGTTGACAGGCATATTGAAAGGTCAGTTTCTGTTGGAGAACAGAATTACAATTTCTGAAGCCCTGTTACTGTAAGATGCCAGCGAAATATGTATATTTGAAGCTTTTTAAAAGAGGTTATCAGAGAACTTCATGCATGTTTTTTTGACATTCATATAAACAAGTGCATCTTCTAACACGGAGCTCTTTCCATTACTTCTGAAATAAGCATCAATCTCTTTTCCAAACTTTTATGTCAATCTCTGTGAACCAATACAAATCTCTTGAGCAGATTAATAGTATATTACTAAAATACTTTCTAGGTTGCTGTGACAACACAAAATGCTTTCTTTCAAAAAATCATAAAAATGAATCTGAATATTTTAATAGTAGGTGGGAGCTTCTTGTGTAAATTAACCTCCAAGATTGTCTACTCTTTCTGGGGTGTGGTTTGATTGGATAATTGTGGGTTATGCATTGTAAAAAATTATCTCAGTTGCATCCTTCAAATGCAAAGGTAACTACATAAAATGTTAAATACACGCATCAGCAGTTAAATCCAAACCATATCAACGGTGTCCAACATAACCCCAAAGAATCTCCAGTATAATAGAGGTAAAGAGTCAAAGACCTCTATCTCTTCTCTAGAAAATATTTTGCAAGTAATTGTTGGTTGCATTGAGATAGATTATCTCTATTATAACAGAAATAGCGAATAAGACTTGTTGACTGTTCATTGTGAAATTTAGAGGAAGATAAGATTTTCATTACTTTTTGGAAGATCATAAAATGATATAGGTAGGTAACGGGATAACCACCTTTCTATAGTGCAACTCTGAAGGATGCCATGTGTCCATTTCTTTTTCATTTGAAGTCATGTGGTTTGTGAATACAGCAACATGTGTGAATCTAAAGTGTGCTGGGACTCATTCACACTGCCAAATTATAGCACTATTATTCCACTATTTTAACTGGACATTTAGAATTCTCAACTAAAGAGGACCGGGCTTTAGCACAGCAGGTTAACTGGGCAGAATATAAATATTGTAAAAAAAAATTAATAAATAGCGCTCCTCCAGATTTCCAGTTTCAGAACTTCGCAGGGTGGAACTATGGCAGTTAAAATGAAATAAGAGTGCTGTATTTGTGTAGTATGAATGGGGCCCTGGTTTCAAATATCCAGGTCTCCATAAAGCTTAATATTGTGTTGCAATTTCACTTTCTTCATGTGGATGGAAATGGAGAGAGCCCACCGTCGTCATCCCAGGGCCTCTAGAACACAAAGAGGAATATAAATTAATATTTCATATTCTAAAGCCGAAGTCCACAAACTAAGGTCATTGGGCTGGATGCAGTCCCCCAAGGTCATTTGCCCATGCTGTGCCCTAAACTTTAGACTTAAGGTTGCCCTAAGTCTGAAACGATTTGAAGGCACATCAATAACAATCATAATTAACCTGGCTATCTCATCAGCCAAAAGGAGGCCCACACTTCCCAATAAAATACTTAGAAGTTTATGTTGGTTAAAATAGTTCTTCATTTTAAATGTTGTATTGCTCTTTCATATCTGTCTATCTATCTTTCTTACTACAAATAAGATATGTGCAGTGTGCATAGACATTTTTTCTTGGGTTTTTTTGTTTTGTTTTTTGTTTTCAAACTATGCTTTGGTCCCCCAACAGTCTGGGGGACCATGAACAGGCCCTCTGCTTAGAAAGTTTGAATACCCTTGTTCTAAAAAGATATGTTCTTTTAAAAAATCCATACTATATATACACTTATTGATTGAGCAGAATATATTTGGTGGCGTCAGGGTCTCTTGATTATCATTCAAGGTCAGTTACTGAACTAAAGACATGGCATGCTTGTCATTGTAACGTGGCTGTAGCTAAGTTAATTCTTTCCTCTTTCCTTTTAGGTGCTTGATGCCAACAAGTGCTTTGAAAAGCAGCCTCCTTCTGCTTTATCACTCCAGCTGGCAAGTTATTATTATAGCCTGCAGATCTATGCTCGTTTGGCACCATGTTTCAAGGATGAATGCCACCCCCTCTACAGGGTCAGTTTCTGGGATTATTCCCCCCCCCTTTAATATGCATCATAAAAGCTATGTTATAAATCCAAAACATAAGTTAAGCTTGGTTCAGGAGCTCTAACTTATTCCAGCCGAACTGCATGTCACCATTTTATCTTGTGTTCTTTTAAAAAGGAAACTATTTAATTCAATGTTTGCCAAAAGGGATTATGTGTGACTAATGAATATTAACCAGCAGTTACAGCTTCGGTTTTTTGTTTTTTAAAAAATATCATCTCCATTTTAAAATGTGAGTCAGGAACTTTACATTTTTTTCTATGCAGTATATTTACTGTTACCTGAGATTTGAAAGGTAGTCGATATAAAATTAAGGCTTTAAAAGTGATCTAGTGTCAATTAAGAAATTATAACATAGTCATCTTAATTTCTGCCCCAGCTATATGACTAAAATCATTTATTAAATCTAGAATTATTAAAAACAGAAGTATAAACTTCAGTAAACTACTGCTTGCAGTGCCACTTAGGAGTTTACCATTTAACTCAGTGTTTTTCTAAATATCTACTGCCACCAAATTTGACTTAGGAGTATAGTGTCTAGATCCAGAGAAGTCATGCTACCCCTCTATTCAGCCTTGGTCAGACCACATCTGGACACCACAATTGAAGGGAGATGTTGACAAGCTGGAATGTGTCCAGAGGAGCACGACTAAAATAATCAAGGGTCTGGAAAACAAACCCTATGAGGAGCGGCTTAAAGTGCTGGTCATGTTTAGCATTCAGAAGAGAAGGCTGAGAGGAGACATGATGGCCATGTATACATATGTGAGGGGAAGTCATAGGAGGGAACAAGCTTATTTTCTGCTGTCTTGGAGACTAGGACATGGAACAATGCCTTCAAACTACAGAAAAGGAGATTCCACCTGAACATTAGCAAGAATTTCCTGACTGTGAGAGCTGTTCGGCAGTGGAACTCTCTGCCTTGGAGTGTGGAGGAGGTTCCTTCTTTGGAGGCTTTTAAGCAGAGGCTGGATGGCCATCTGTCGGGTGCTTTGAATGCGATTTCCTGCTTCTTGGCAGGGGGTTGGACTGGATGGCCCACGAGGTCTCTTCCAACTCTATGATTCTATGACTTCCTTAAATCTTGCAGTTGCCACCATGAGTTTTATATTCTCTGCCACAATATAAGGGCTGAATCCTCTCCTGCTGGGGCCACCCACTCTAAGGACATACTAGATAGCCTCAAGGTACCTGTGTAAGGTGGACTTGTACCAAGAATTAGGTAAATTCCCAGAAGACAGGCTTGTTCAAGACTATGATAGCTAAATAGATTGTCAAGACTCAGGTCCGGCGGTAGAACAAAGCAGCTAAGCAGGAGCTAATTCATTCTCTAAGCCACGTTTTCTCCTACTACTGGTAGTAGGTGCATCAGACAGACGCTGAGTCTCAACATAGATACTCCATATTCAGGGGCGTTATGCCTTTGAATTTTCGGAAAACAATAGATGGGAGATTTTGCATATGAATGTCTTGGAAATCTGCTTCCAGAAATATTTTTTTACCCAGTGATGGAAACAGGTTGTTACTCTTTAGATGGATTATTTGGTATTATCGCACCAGACTTTTCTCATGTTTATCCTAAGAGCTTTACAATGCATAATAAGTAGGTGGGAGAATTCTATCCAAAGTTTCAGATGTCCCCAGTGGTTCCTTTTTAAATCCATGACAAGTTTGTTCTACAGATAATATATAGCTACATTGTGCTTTTGCTTGATTCTTGAATATGTTCCAAACATTAATTGCTCACTCAGGTGCACACATTTTCTTTTTCTCCTGCTGTATTGCTTAGAAATGAGTTTGTTGAATCATTACTTAACTTATGTAAATTTTGGCGTGTGTGGCAATGTTGCTTGTCCTATTTTTGACAGGTAGTTTGTGAACTACAAGACACACCAAAATAAATGGTTCTAAAAGTTTGTCTTAGCACCCATAATGTTAATTTGCTACTTTATTGGTTAATTGCATTTGTAAGCTGGCTTTCTCCCAATAACTAGGGCTCAAGGCTGATAAGAGTGAAATTAATAAAACAGTACCACTTGAAAAACATAAAAAGATTAATTAAAATCTTTAAAAGCAGCTAAAAACAAATCAATTAAAACAAAACAGTGGAAATGACAGGAGTTGCCTGGATTAAAAGCCCCTTTCAGAGCAGCACTGCTTAACTGTCCGAGAGTTGCTTGAATACATAACTCTGGCAGAGAAGTTTGTGGAAAGGATATGCCGTCAAGGTAAGGATTCAGCAACGCATCCTGCCTTGATATCTTTTCCCAGTGGCTCAATGGTTTAAACCTTTGTGCCGGCAGGACTGCTGACCAAAAGGTTGGCGGTTAAAATCTGGGGAGCGGGGTGAGCTCCCATCTGTCAGTTCCAGCTTCCCATGTGAGGACATAATAGAAGTCTCCCACAGGATTGTAAAACATCTGGGCATCCCCTGGGCAACGTCCTTGCAAACTGCTAATTCTCTCACACCAAAAGCGACTTGCAATTTCTCAAGTCGCTCCTGACGCACATAAAAAATATTTTCAGTAACTGATGAACTGTGTTCAGATGTGTGTTTCTGGCAACCTCATAGGTTGTTTTGCATCATGCTGTTATAGTGCTATGATTCCACTTTGATGGTTGTGGTCCCCCATAGTATCCTGGGATTGGTAGTTGAAGAAATTGTATTCATCATTCTCAACCACAGGTCCCCTGTGGTGTTTCTGACCATACTAACAAACCCAGAATGGAGTCACATAAAAATTAAAGTGGAGTAATAGTGCGATAATTTTGTAGTATGAATGGGAAAGCCCCAATTGACAACCTGCCAGAGTTTGCTGGCAATCGTAAGTGGTTGGCCTTTGCAAAGTTGCAGTGATTTTCTTTCTTGTTTATTGGTCTGTTACTAGCAAAACAATAGGATGCATTGATAGTTCAATGAGGAAAAAAAATCTTAGTGTCTACTTTTTTTAGACCTGTTCCTTGAGGTTATTTGGGGTGCTGATTCGGAAAATTGCATTGGATAAACTGTATTAGCTCTAATTTCTTGATATGGCTATCATGGTTTCTATGTACAAGAAGATGGAAACTGGTAGATGGCGTATGTTCTGTATCTCAAAAACTAGAACTGAAAGGGGTAAACTGGTGCTGTTTTTGATTTCTGCAAGTCAGATATACCCCAAAACAGGACTAACCTTTGAGGCACCAAAATATATGTTGGCCAGTATAATAAATGTTTATAGTTAAATGTCTGCTAACATTCAGTTTTTGCTGTTAGGATTTAACAATTTCTCCCAAAACTTCCTATATGCAGGTTTCCACTATCTGTGGCCTGGTATATGCATTGTAACCCAATTTACAACACTGTGCTAATGCAAATATGCAAAAGTGTTCTTAAAATACATTTCATGCTCTTCTCTTTTGTGTTCTTTTCTCATAAGTGTCCCTCAATTTTGTCAATAAATTTCTTAGTGGCTTAGCTAATATTGCGTTAAGGAAGCTGATCTCCTTGTTAGCATGGCATCATTTTATAGGTAAACAGATATTTTAATACATTTATGTACCTTTTTTATTGCCAGCTCTCACATTTTAAGGTTAATATTTCTCAAGAATATTGTGTTTTTATCGTTTTTTTTAAAAAAAATTGCTTTTGCTAATGCTTTGAGAATGACTTTCTGGAGAATATTAATAAGAGTTACAAAGCCGTAATGAAAAGAAATTTAATTGTTGAGTCAGGGAGAATGACAGTTATCGTCATTGAAACAAAAGTCATTCACTTGTACTGGTTTATTACTACTGGAATTCTGGACCACTTCATTTAAATAGCACAGATTCCCCCACCTCAAAAAATAACTAATTTAGTAGCAGTGTAGCAAATTAATTTCTTTTCTCCATCTTTGTCATTATTTTTTCCTTTATATGCCTAACAAGAATTTGTAAAAACTTAAATCAATTAAATTTTAAGTTCCCCCTGAGAAAAATAAGAGACCTCCAGACATTATGTGGAGGGGGTTGGAAAACGCACACGAATACGTAAATTGCTTCTTAGCTATCTATTTGAAAAATAAATTAGGGAATACCTGCTCACAAGTGTGCTTTTATTCCAAACCTTTGGGATTGTTCAGCCTCCTTCTGCCAAGATGTGTAATATAAAACAAATATTGAGTTAAAATGTCTTCTTTAATAAAGAAGAAATATTTCCCTTCCTGTTAATACTGATACTGTTATATCTTCATGTTTACTACAAATGATTTGCTGTGCAAATGATTATACAAAAGAGCCTAGAACAAGTTTGATTGTGATTCCACAATCCACGGAGCACTGGTGTGCCTTAACAGCTTTCTTTAACACTCTTTTATGGACATTTGTTGCCTACCCACCACAGTTTGAAGCTAGCTTCAAACTGCATTATGCGGTCAATATAGATAAAGATCATAGATTACAAGCACCAACTACCCAATGGAGATGACTAATTTGAGAAAAGTGTGAAGGCTCTAAAATGATTCCAGTGTGAGATATTATAAAAACAATGTGCTGTAAGGCACAGAGGAGACTTGGGAGACCTTACAGCTGTGATTCCCAAACTTTGGTCCTTCAGTTGTTTTGGACTTCAACATGCAAATGCTATGGCCAGCTTATCTAATGGAAGACCAAAGCTGAAGCTCAAAACATGTGAACCAAGGTTTGAGAGCAACTGCTTTTGAGATTGATGGAGAGATGGTAATTGCTACCAACTTCACCATCCTTAAGGAAGTTTGGTCATAGGCTGGACAAAAAGGTCCAGACTCACAAATTTCCACAAACATCAAATGACACAGAATGTCACATATATCACAAATCCTGTAGGAATATTCATCTAGTGTGATTATATTTCTTTCTAAATTTGTTTGAATATGACTCAGACTTTTGTAAATTTGTAACTACTCCTGAGTAATACTTGGAGGTGGTTTTGTGTACACAATTGTTGTTGTTCATTCGTTCCGTTGCTTCCAACTCTTCGTGACCTCATGGACCAGCCCACGCCAGAGCTCCCAATCAGCCATCACCACCCCCAGCTCTTTCAAGGTCAAGCCAGTCACTTCAAGGATGCCATCCATCCATCTTGCCCTTGGTCGGCCCTTCTTCCTTTTTCCTTCCATTTTCCCCAGCATATTGTGTACCCTTCTGTACACAATACCCTTTTGCTAATGCAATAATACTTGCTGTAAAAAAGCTTTCCTTTAATTATCTCTTTTCTTTTCATACTTTCCCACATGCATTTGCTTGGTACTTGTATGCATATGTGCATAGGGTTCCCAGTTCCTTTTAGACTTTTGAAAATCAGAAGCGAATTAGAATGCCAGTTTGGCATAACAGTTGTATATTCCAATGCATCTTGAATTGATTCCACAGGCTGATCCCAAAGAATTGATACAGATGGTCACAAAGCACGTTTCACAATCCAGCAGTTTGGACTGGCCTGATGAAACAGCAACTCTGATCAAACACCTCCAGTACTACAACGAGCGACTCTTGGACTTCACTCAAGCCCAGGTTCTCCAGGGTCTTGGCAAAGGAGTGGATGTCCAGAGGTTTACAGCAGATAGCCAATACAAGAAAGAAACCATATTGGGTTTGGCAGAGTAAGTAACAGTCTGCTGTCCTTGTTTTTGTTTGCTAACTTGACATATTTAAAATGCAAACCCGTGCAATCCATTTTTGGCAGCACTGGCCTTTAGAAAGGCTTATTAGTCATCCCTCACTTTGCAAGGCAGATGTTAATAGGATTCTTTTGCTCTCTTTATGCATTCTGGTCAGATGAAGTGCTCAGTCCAGCTATGCGGATCAATAAATACACAGGATATTATTAGAGTAGAAATCTCAAGAGCTAATTTTGTACTTCACCAGAATACGGGTAGCCAATTGTCTCTCCCACCTCTCCAATGGGATGTGCATAGTCATGGAAACTCATGGACAAACATTAGATATTTTTAAAATAATGAGAAATATTATTATTAATATTGTTAATCCTGTCTCTACATTAATTGCACTTAACAAAGAATGAGAGAATCTCATATATAGTAACAATCTGAAAATAGATATGAGACAGAAATATATTGGTTATTCTTTCTTGCATGTTGGTTTAGATTTTCTCGTGACTTTTCCTTTCTTGGATAATTTCATTAAACTTTGTGGGTATGGACTATTGAAGTATCAGCGCCTTTCAAATTAAACTAGTGCTTGAGAATATTCACAAGAGGATTCAGACTGAAGTTCAGTTGTGACACACAACCTGTGATGAAGTGCATTCACCTTATCTTGGGAATGAATTAAAGATCCAGCAGGCTATTTTGAGATCATGTCGGGAAGAAAATAAAATAATTGAGTTTGATTAGGTCATAGTAATGGAGAAATACCATACTTCAATACCAGTGCATCACTGCCATGTACACTAAGATTATGTAATGGTAGGGGGAAAAGGAATTACCATATTTCGTTGTTGTATTTAGCATTTTTACCTTTAGTTTTTCAATCGAATATTACAGCACTTTAGAATGATTCTGGTAAGATCATGATATATACCATATATACTCGACTATAAGCCGGGTTTTTCTTTTAGGCTAAAAAAGTCCCCCTCGGCTTATACTTGGGTCAGTTTTTTTACTGTGTTGTTGTTGTTGTTGTTGTTGTTAATATTACATTTATTATTTTACTCTATTTACTATTATTATTACTTTTACATTATTTTACTCTATTTATTATTGCTGTTATTACATTTATTATTTTACTCTATTTATTATTACATGTATTATTTTACTCTATTATTATTGTTGCAAGGATATGTAAGCACATTTACATTGAAGAAGGTTAGAATAATGGTTTAATCAGAGTTGGACAGTCTTATCTTAATTTACAGTTTTATGTAAATATATAAAAACATTTAGCCTACTGATGTCTCAATTAATGTAATTTTATTGGTATCTATTTTTATTTTGAAATTTACCAGTAGCTGCTGCATTTCCCATCCTCAGCTTATATTCGAGTCAATCTGTTTTCCCAGGTTTTGTGGTAAATTTTGGTGCTTCGGCTTATAGTTGAGTCCGTTTATACTCGAGTATATATGGTAGTTGTCTCTGCCAGTTGGTTTCAAACATTTTTCTTTGTAGTCACTTCTCCATGTGGTGCAGAATGTAGCCTGAAATCTTAGAGAGAAACTGGTAGTCAAAATTGGCATGGCTTGGCTAGCAGCATGAATCTTTTAACTCTATATAAGGACATATGTTCTTGTCTATGAACCAAAGAGTATTCCATATTACAAGGTAATTACTTCACAAATTATTTAGCTGCGAAACAAGTATTGTAAATTTCTCATGCTTAATGGGAAATAATTTATTCTGTAGATTATATTCTACAGCCTGGTCAAGTGATTCTTTTGGCACTGAATGTGATATTTCCTCTTTCACTAGGACACTTGAAGAAAATGTGTATAGGATTGCTCTCTCCTTGGCGCAGCGTTATAGTGTCCCACTTTGGGAAGTTTACATGACACATCTGGAATTTCTTTTCAGTGACAGTGGGTAGGTATAACGACTTATTCACCTTCATTTAACTTTACTGGTGCATCAGTCCTGGCCTTCTGGAGAAAAGTGAAATCCTGGCTGTAGGATCAGAACTTCGTGGACTAGACTGACTTGCTGGCAAAGTTATGGTTTAATGGACTATGATGGACTGCTTTTAGGATGACAATTCAAATCGCCGATTGTTTTTAGTGTTTCAATATAATACGTATATCTATGTTTTTGTGTTGTGGGCACGATGTTGTGCTGGTTGTTAGCCGCCTTGAGTCCCTCTGTGGAGGTTGAGATAGGACGGGATATAAATGCCCTAAATAAATAATAAAATGTTCAGAATTGATGTATTTATTTATTTAGAACTTTTATATCCTGTTCTTCTCTACCTCCATAGAGGGGCTCAGAATGGCTAACAGCAAAGATTCAATGCTAGACAGTAAATAACAGTTTAAAAAACATGCAGATACAATAACTTAAAAACACATATAATTTAAAAGTACATATAAACCAATTTGCCAAGTTAAAACATCATCCAACTCAGTCCGCACATTGTAGTCCATCACTCTGTGAATGCCTGATTCCAAAGCCAGGATTTCACTTGCTTCCTGAAGGTCAGGAGGGAGGAGGCAGACCTAACCTCATTCAGGAGAGAGTTCCATAGCCGGGGGGCCATCACAGAGAAGGCCCCATCTCTCGCGACTGTGAAGGTGCAACTGTGAAGGCGTGACTGTGAAGGTGACGGGACCAAGAGCAGGCCCTCTCTGGAAGATCTCAAAGCTGGTTTATAGGGGAGAATACGTTTGGACAGGTAAAATGGGCCGGAACCGTGAAGGAAAGGCAAGGTGAAAACTTTAGCATCCTGAATTTAGGGGTAAAATAAGTAATGTCCTATGCTTACGGTTCTTTTAGTACCACTTCATTTCACCATCTCTGGAACCTTCATGCTAGGCCAAGCCAGAGAGTTACCACCAGATAATTCAGAGAAGAGGAACACTAAAGGGTTGTGTTTAGACATGTTGCCATATATACATCTCACTCAAATCCACTTGGATGTGTGTGCCCCTTCAAGAAACCATTGAATAAAAAGCTGCAGACAATTGGCTGATATGGTAAGCCTTTAGTGCCTTCCCGACATAATCAGCCAATAAGCCAGTTTTGCCCATATTGAATATAATGCTAGCAGGAACTGGACAAATCAGTTGAATCAACAAGTTGCTAAGCAACCATACAATTTAATTAAAGGAAAAGTGTCTGCTGGGTGTTAAACCAATTATAGTGCAATAAGGAAACTTGTCTAGTACCATTCATGTTAGGATAGATATTGAGCAGATACTTATTACAGCCCAAAATACAGAGAACCTATTAGCCATAGCGGGCAGACTAAAGAACAAAGGAGCAATAGGTGGCAAAGGGAAGGGTGCCAGTTTGAAGATGGAAGGAGATACAAGTAAAATGCTAGCAGAAGCCTTTGGGCCTTTCCACACAGCCATATAACACAGAATATCAAGGCAGAACATCCCACAATATCTGCTTTGAACTGGGATATCTGGTCCACACTGCCATATATTCCAGTTTAGAGCAGATAATGTGGAATTTTATTCAGCTGTGTGGAAGAGGCCTATGTCATAGAAGGAGAAAACAAGCAGAAGGAGACGGAACCAGGTGGAAGAAAATTCGCCCTAACAGAAACTAACAGGTACATTAAACACATTTTATTGGGAATGGGGAAAGCATCCATATATTATAGCCAATGTTTATCTTTTTAAAAAAATCTAAATCTTGGCTTACTTTGATGTACATTGGATTTATAATGAATACATCTATCCACACCAGTTTTTATGCCTGTTTTACTGGTTCTGCCCTCCTGTTTTGAATTGTACTCCAATAAATACATTTATGTATCAAGGACAGAAACTAAAAAAAATCGTAATTTTTCTCATCATCAGTTAAAAAGTGTGACAGGAAAAAAAGATCAACATCCACAAGAAGTTTTGGATCACTTTTTTCTCAGATGCAGCAGTATTAGCAAAACTTCTTTATCTTTCTAAAATGAGAAAGAGAGGGAGAGAAGAAAGTGTTTTTGTATAAATAAAACCTTTTCTCACTCAAAAATGATGAAGATGGTTAGAAAATGGGCAGAATTGCTTCATCTTGTAAGCAGGGAGAAAATTTTGGATTTTTCTTCATTTACATTGCTACCCATAACTCTATAAAATATCAACAAATTATGACTGTTGAGGTTTAGAAAGCTTGACCTATTTATTTGAAACGTTAGGAACTCAATGCCCAGAGCACCAATAAAATGTAATTGTGAAAATGTCACTCAATCATGAGTTGTTTTTTAAATAAAAATACTGTTTTAAGACACAGTATGACAGTCTCTGTAAAATTTCATGATTACAACTATTTATTTGGTAGGTAGGAGTTTAGCCTGTAAGTCCTCCATGAAAACGCTATCTTGTGTAAGTGTCATCAATCCAATATCTAGTGACAATTCTAAATGTGGTATTATTAAAATGAGCACTCATGGACATTTTTTAAAAGTGGTTTCATTCTTTATAGTTACCATGCATGTTTTTGTTTTCTTTTTTGCCAGTTTAACAACAGCTGCTATAGAAGATAGAGCACAAAATCTTGGCTTATTTGAGACTTTGAAAACAATCCCTGAGGCCTTTCATGAGCACATGGCTAAATATGTGTACCCTACGATTGAAGGCAGAGATCACCAACGTTTGCTGTATTATTTCACACTTCTTGAGAATTGTGCCTCTCCTGAATTTGTGAAGCACACTGTCAAATCTGAAACACACATACGTCTGCTGAAAAAATTCAAGGCAGTTGCACCAGGTATGTGGTGTTGACATTTTGTTTCTTACATTTTATCTATAGCAATGGTGGGCAAAGAGTGACCCTCAAAGCTAATTTTATGCATTTTTAATTTTTTTAAAAAAACATTTTTCTCCCCTTCTCTCCCAAAAAAGAATTCATAATCTCAGCATGCCCCATAATACCCATTAGGACTGCAGGAAATCTCATTTTTTCATGTTTTTCCAAGGAACCCTGAGTGAGTTAATGCAAGCCCTTCTATAGTCTAGCATTGGCCTGATGGTTCCAACAACCCTTCATTATCTATAATGGCACCTTCAAGTAGTGAAAAAACACTGAAGCTACAATACTTCACATTCACAGCTTCACTGGTAACAGGGGGATGTATTTATAAGTTAAGATGCATAGGTTCTGAACCTCTATACTAGGAGATCAGAACTGTGTATCTTCAGTAAAAAGGGTTATCCCAATACTACAGCTGAGTGGTCCCCCACCAGAAATATACATGTTAAAAAAATGCATGAGAAATGGATGGATTTAATTTTATTTGCTAGGGTAGGGAGTTAGATATGTGTAGCTTGGAGAAGAGAAAACTCAAAGGCAACATTCTAGCCATGTTTAAATATTTGAAAGGATGTGATGTTGAAGATGGAGCAAGATTATTTTCTGTTGCTCCAGAGACTAGAACGAAAACTAGTGATTCAAATTGCAAGAAAAGAGATTCTTCCTGAAAATTACAAGGAACGTGTTTAGTGTGAGAACGGTACAATAGAGGAATAGACTGCCTTGGAAGGTGGTAGATTCTCCATCTTTGAAGGTCTCTAAACAGAAGTTGGCTAGGCATCTTTTAGATGTGTTTTTGATAATATATTCTTGATGGCAGGGGGTTGGATCAGATAAGGCTTACATCCCTTCCAATTTTATGATTCTATCATGCTGGTGTGCACTGAATAGGACTATGAAAATGGCTCATTAATCCATCATGAAAGAAAGATGTCTTGGCACTCTAGATACCAAAAATGGAAGGGGGGGGGGGTCATGATTCTTTGCACTTTTGGACTTCATTGAAGAAAATCTATATGCATAAAAATAAACTTTGGTTTTTTGATCATGATTTGCCTGTTGTGGGATAGTGGTTGCAGAGGTTGATGAAATTATGGCATAGAATGTTTCTAAATACAACAGTGGTAGGATTCTGGCACCCATAAATAGTGCCTAATTTCATTGCAGTTTCAATAACTGTAATATGAACACAGATATTTAAGAAAAGATGTAATTTTAAGTATTTTTTACATATATTTTTTCCTGAATAGGTCTTAATTACAAAAAGTTAATGGAAGACAATGTGAATCCCCTGGCTGCTTTAGAGCCCATCCTCACAAGTCAGAATGTCCTCTCAATTTCCAAGCTTGCTCCTAAAATTCCAGACAAAGAAGGAGGGATGCTTTCCCCAAGCTCTGTCTATGCCATCTGGATAAAAAAACTCTTCTGGACCGGGGATCCCCATCTCATTAAAAAAGCTCCAGAAACCGTCGCTGAATGGTTGCATGCCTATGACATCTGTGCCAAGTACTTTGATAGACTTTGCCCAGGAGATATTATCAATTTCATGGATGAAATTACTTTTTCCTCCAAAGCTGTCACCAAGGTAAGTACAATTTTACAACTGCGTTGCAGAAATCTCAGTATTTCATTTAAAAAGTTCAAAGTCTTAGCTTTTCTTGTAGACGTATATTATAACTGGACTTGTCAGAAGCCATCCAGTGTTGTATGAACAGATTTCCTCTATCACTCCTGCTTCCCCAAAAGGTAGGAGCAGTGCTTCCCAGCACAGAATGGAGAACATCTAAGGACAAAGAAAAATGTCTTTGGTCTCAGAGCCGGGGGTGGGGTGCGTGGTGGGGGTTGAAATCCAAACACGGGAAGCCACTCTGATGGAGTGGAGTCTGGTTCATCATGGGGACCCTAGTGAACAGCGGCTGTGACAAAGGAATGCTTGGATTAGCTCAGGGAATTCAGCTAATTTTTATCTTATCTTGAGCTCTTTTATTGTTGCGTAAAGGTTGCATAAAGAGAATGAACCAAGGCCCTGAAATTGTTACAACATATATGCCTGGTCCTTGGCTCTTTCCATGTAGCAGACTTCCTTTTGTTTTTTTGCAGAGATATATCATTATAACAGTCTTCCCTTTCAGAATACTCAGTGTTGTCAGTGTTTACCAGTGTGGGTATTTCAAAAATTTCTGAATAATTGTGTGGGATTTCTTATCTATTCATTGCAACTGAGGCTATTTTTTTTTTGCTGGGTTGCTGACAGTTTTCTGGGCTGAATGGCCATGTTCCAGAAGCATTCTCACCTGATGTTTCACCCACATCTATGGCAGGCATCTTCAGAGGTTGTGAGATTTGTTGGAAACTAGGCAAGTGAGGTTTATATTTCTGTGGAATGTCCAGGGTGGGAGAAAGAACACTTGCCTGTTTGAGGCAAGTGTGAATGTTGTAACTGGCCACCTTGATTAGCATTGAATGGCCTTGCAGCTTTAAAGCCTGACTGCTTCCTGCCTGGAGGCACCCTTTGTTGGGAGGTGTTAGCTGGGTCTCATTGTTTCCTGTCTGGAATTCCCCTGTTTTTTGAATATTATTCTTTATTTACTGTTCTGATTTTGGAGGTTTTTTAAATCCTGGTAGCTAGATTTTGTTCATTTTCATGGTTTCCTCCTTTCTGCTGAAATTGTGCACATGCTTGACGGTTTCAATTGCTTCTCTGTGTAGTTTGACATGGTGGTTTTTAGAGTGGTCCAGCATTTCTGTGTTCTAAAATAATATGCTGTGTCCAGGTTGGTTCCTCAGATGCTCTGCTATGGCTGACTTCTCTGGTTGAAGTAGTCTGCAGTGCCTTTCATGTTCCTTGATTCGTGTTTGGGCAATGCTGCATTTGGTGGTCCTATGTAGACTTGTCCACAGCTGCATGGTATACAATAGACTCCTGCAGAGGTGAGAGGATCCCTCTTGTTTTTTGCTGAATGTAGCATTTGTTGGATTTTCCTAGTGGGCCTATAGATAGTTGTAGGTTGTGTTTCTTCATCAGCTTCCCTATGCGGTCAGTGGTTCCCTTGATGTATGGTAAAAACCTTTTTCCTCAGGGTGGATCTTTGTCTTTACTCTCTTTACGTTCTTGGTCTTGCAGATTTTCGGGTTTTTTGTTTGTTTGTTTTTTAGTTCCTCATGCTGTCACCATCTACCTCTTTTTGTAAAATAATGTATTAAATAACAAACCCAACAAGATAAATGTATATGATTTTTAAGAAATTCATCTGCTAAACTTACCTATTAGCAGAACTGGACATTTTATGGCACTACTGTTTTCAGGTACAGCAACCTTCTAGAGCTGCCCTCCAGATGTTTTGGATTGCAACTCCCATTATTCCAATTGTCATTCTGATTGGTAGTGCCAGTTGGAGTTAATGGTAGTTGTAGTCCAGCACATTTGGATGTTACAACATGGAGAAAGCTTAAATAAAAAAGACAAAAATCACACCATAATTACAGAATGGTGTGATTTTTTTCTTCTTTATTTATTTTTCATAGGTAGCTTCTTTTGTTATAAAGCATGACAGTGAAATTTCATTCCAGTTAGTTGTCCTTCTTATGCAAAATAATGCAGTGTATTTGACCTTTCAAACCCATTTCAGATAGTGAGAAAAGAACAGATACCTTTGTGCTCCAAAACCACTTTGAAAGAAGGAAGATTGCTTTTCACGTATTTACAAAAAGGTGGAGGATGTTAATACTATATCACAGTGGCACAGTTTATCATTCTTCTGAAAGGAATGTACAATTAAACTAGCATTGTCTTGCCCTAGTATTCTTCCTTTAATGGTATAATCGCTGCTTGCAAGACCATTTTGACCTCAAAGGATGCCAAAAGTTTTTATTTAATCCAACTAAACAAGAAAACTACAGCTATAATGCTGCCATCTGCATCACTTTATCAGAAGCTTCACAATTTTAATGCATAAAAAGGGATCAAGGTGGAAATCATTGCACTAGCAAAGTAATAGATATGCAAATCAAGTTATTTTGCATAACATTTTTGAAAAAAACAATCTACAACTTCTTTAAAGGTAGGAGGATGTGGTCAAGAGCCTCCTTGAGCAAAATTCTGCTCATAGACACATTCTGCTCTTTTGTGGATTAAGGAACACATTCAACATCTGGGACTCTTTAGGACTACATCCCCTTGATACATTCATTATCAACCCCTTCTTCTACTGAGGCTTTTATTGTCGAAATGCAATGTTACTGGCCATTCTGTCATATTTTCAAGTATTTTGATCCCCATCTTATTTTTAAAGCATTTACAACCTCCCCTCCCCACCCTGCTTCAAACTAATAAATATCCAGACTCCCTATTCCAGGCCATTCCTGCCTTATGGAAACTGGAGGAAAGTGCTTCCTGTCTTGAAAAAAGTATTGTAGAGGCTGAGGAGAAAGCTGCAACAGATCTTGAAAAGCTCAAGAGAAGCACAACTCCCCAGAGGCCTGTAGGAACATTATGAGCCATTCCAGGACAAAAAAATAATAATATTAAAATGTATCCTCTCCCTCAATGGGTAGTAGGAGCTGGGCTTGGGGAAAATGTATTGGATAAAAACAGCCTTCATCCCTATGTACATGAAAGTTACATTTTTTCCAAACCCTGCTGTACAAGTCTACTCTGAGGATTACCTCATTGATTTATATGAAACTTACTACAAGAACATTTGTAACATTATTTGATCTTTTAGGCCCTTCTACACTGCCATATAAAATCCAGATTATCTGCTTTGAACTGGATTATATGACAGTGTAGATTCAATAAAACATGTCAGCTGGAGTTGTATAGTTTGGAGGAATAATTGTGTATTTTGTGGGATTAATACTAGATATGTATTCTTTTGAACCAGTTGTTATACGCAGAACCATAAAGATACATTGAGTTGTTAACAGGTAAACTCACAATAGTGTACACATTCCTGCTGCAGACAGTTAAGATTACAAAATCCAGTAGAACTGAAAGAAATACTTTGTAATACAAGTTGGGTCTTTTTCATCCAAAATGTTCGGGGCCTGTTGTATTTTGGATTTCATTTATTTATTTTGGGATTCATGGATTTGCAAATGAAGGATGGGAGGGAGGGGTTAGTCATATGTCTAGTTCCTGTGATTGACCTTGGAGCCAGTTTCATTTCTCTGGCCTGAATCTTCAACACTTTGAACCTGGGCTGAATCTGCATCACTTTGGACCCAAGGAAATCCCACAATCCCTTCTGAATAATCAGTGACCCATCATCAGCACCTGGCTGAGGCTGAGCTACAACATCAGATTTCTGTCCATTGCCTCTTAATGTTTCATTTCTCTGACCACAATATCAAACACATGGGTTTGTCATAGCAAGATGTTTTTTATTTTTTTCCCTCTGAAAAAATGGTAATTTGAGAGGTGGATGAGTGTTCAGCATACAAACATAGCATCCTAAGGATAATCACATTGTATAGTTGGTTGAAAACTATTGTGTGTTTTTGTGAGAGACTCATGAGAAGCAAAATAGAAATGTCCAGGCCTCCTATTGCCTCTATATTTGTTTTGTACCCTTTTTGAACCATAAATACAAGACGAATCAAAATACTTCCCTATAAAAGTGGAAAACCTCCAGCTGATAACTTCAAAGGAATTTGTTGAACAATGTGAAGAATATAAACTTGTGCTTCTAGATTGCTACAGGCTATTATACTTTAGGGGTGTGTTTGTGTATGTTTGTGTAGGAACTTTTAAAGTTAGATAATGGAATCAGTTAACACAAGCATGAAAAAATGAGCTGGTGTGAGATTACAACTTGAAAGGGAAGGTTCTTTTTACGTGACAACACTCTTTCTTGCTCATTTTCTGTTGTATTAACACATTCTTGTTCTTTACAAGCCAAAACAATATCTTAATCAGTATACATTGCTCAGCTACTCCTTGATTAATGTGCACCCAGGCACCCTTTATATTGCATATGCCAATGACAATTTATGATGAAATGAACATTATCTTTTCTCAGCTGTCAGTTGATTCCCGAGTAGGGATGACAAAGAAGGCTATTAAGTCAGTGAAACATGTTGCTGAGAAATCTGGAAAAAGAACAACTGAGGGGGACAACATGGAAGGCGTGGTTGATGGGCAAATATCTTATGAAGATGCTATGAATCATCTGCAGCAGTCTCTTGCACATCTGGAAACACTTAACCATAGTTTTATTTCTTACCTGAAAAGCAGTGATCAGGTAAATATTTACACTATACAAATCAGTGCTATGCTTGATAAATCTTCCATTGTGCATCTGTGCGATTATTGCTGTATTTCAATGTGTCATTCCCCACTACAATCCATGGGGGAAATGAGTAAGAAATAAATATTGTTGTTGCTGTTTTACAACTCTTTTTTCCTTACCCCCCCCCCTTTATAAAAAATAACGTTCTTTTTAACTCACTTTGTGTTTATTGGCTGATGTTTATAACCATCATCAAAAATATAATCCAGGAGTTCAAATAATATAGGTGGAAAGATATTTCATTTATCTTTAAAGACTGTAGACAAGATGGCTATGCTAGGATTCTGCCAGATGAGCTCCCTTGAAAGCTGTTCACCAATAGAACAATGAAATCTTCATGGATTTCTCCTTCCTGCAAAATTTATTCCAGTGGTTTACTAAGGAAATGTATACTGATGACTATGGAGGGAGGGAAGGAATTAGCAGCACATCACCTCTCTCTGCTAAGAGGAATGGTCTAAGCCAGTGGTTCTCAACCTGTAGGTTCCCAGTTGTTTTAGGCTTCAACTCCCAGCTGGTAAACTCTCTGGGATTTCTGGGAGTTGTAGGCCAAAACACAAGGGAACCACAGGTTGGGAACCACTGGTCTAAGCAGAATTCCACTGTAGGATGTTCCCACCAGTACAATAATGAATGGAACCCATCTAGTATTACATACAGTATTTGATATCTGGGGAATTTTGTTCTTACCTTTCAAATGATTAGCTTACACTCAAAAAATAGTGTAAAATAATCATATAACCAGCTTCAGAATTACTTATTAAAAAGCCAATGTATGGCAGATATACAAACACATATGGCAACATGAATAGTTTTAAAGCAACATATTATTCGTTCATAAAATTCATTTATGCAGAATTGGGAATAATAGCTTCTTTTGTGATTTGTTAATGCTCAGTTCAAAGCTTTTTGCTTTCAGTGTTTGGGAGAAGGTTCCTTCACACGTCTTGGTTACACTGAAACCTGAGTTTTTGATAAATGTTGAATCCTTCCAGGTTAAAGTGCTTTATACTATTATATATTTAAACTACCTCTCCTTTTAGAATCTACTACAGCAGTATGGATACCAGTATGATTTATCTCGATCAGAGAAAACGAAAATCAATGAACAAGCTGTAACTATGTGTGTAGATGGTCAGCCCCTAGATATGATACAGAAGTTATTGGATGTGGCTGTAGGTGATCTGGGATTCTCACCTAGAGATATAGTACAAACAGCTGTAAGCAAAGTGGTAGGTGCTTTGAGGTAAGTTAAATAATCCATTTCCAAACTTTTCAGAATACAATATCCAATGTAATAAGGGCTGCAATATCCGAAATGTTGTTGTTGTTCATTCGTTCAGTCGCTTCCGACTCTTTATGACCTCATGGACCATACCACGCCAGAGCTCCCTGTTGGCCGTCACCTTCCCCAGCACCTTCAGAGTCAAGCCAGTCACTTCAAGGATACCATCCATCCATCTTGCCCTTGGTTGGCCTCTCTTCAATTTTTCCTTCCATTTTCCCCAGCATCATTGTCTTCTCTAAGCTTTCCTTTCTTCTCATGATGTGGTCAAAGTACATCTTTGCCTCTACTATCCTTCCCGCCAGTGAGCAGTCGGGCTTTATTTCCTGAAGTAATATCCGAAATGAGTCATTTTAAACTCACTGCTGCTAAGCATACATGCCTAAGACTATATGTCAAAGTACAGGGTTAGTCAAAATGAATAGGCCAATAAGAAAATTAATTTTAGACAAATGTATGTTTACTGTAACCAAACCACAGCTACGTAGCGACAGATAAACTATTAAAGTTTTTTTTGAGCAACACACATGTACGTTAATGCCGCTAGGCGTCGCTAGGGGTCGCTGTTTTCAAAATGGCGGAATCAAGCAAAGAGAAGGTGTTTTGTGTGATGACATTTGCTAAAACAATGTCAGTAATTACGGTCCAGCGAGAATTTCAAGGTTAGGGTTAGGGTTAGGGTTAGGGTTAGGGTTAGGGTTAGGGGTTAGGGTTAGGGTTAGGGTTAGGGTTAGGGTTAGGGTTAGGGTTAGCGTTAGGGTTAGGGTTAGGGTTAGGGTTAGGACCTCAACGAACACCTTCCCAGACGTTGCTGCATTCGATGCCATTACGTCGGATGTGCTGCAACGGATGTGGAATGAACTGGACTATCGCTTGGACATCTGCCGTGTCACACGGGGCGCCCATATCGAACATCTCTGAAGGTGAGACAAAACTTTGATAGTTTATCTGTCGCTACGTAGCTGTAGTTTGGTTACAATAAACATACATTCGTCTAAAATTAATTTTCTTATTGGCCTATTCATTTTGACTAACCCTGTAGACTTTCAACATAAATTTCTGGGGCATGGATAGACTAACAACTTGACATTTTTAAATTTGGGGTGGTTTTTTTTGTTTTGTTTTTTGGCCTTTCTCCAAAAATTTATAAATGGTTGATGGAAAAGAAGAAGGAAAAATCGGCATGCTGATTGCCTTCACAACATGTTTGTTCCATAGGCCTGGTTGATCAAGAAAAAATTTGGTTCTAAAATCGATTTGTAATTGGGGTGTTTTTTTGTTTCGATATTTAAAATAATTACAAAATTTCCCCCCTTCAATCCGTTAATATTTACGAAAATTTCGTAAATATTAACGAATCGATTCGTTAAGATGGCGGACCCCCCGCGCATGCACAAAAACACTTTCGAAGCTTCGTTATTGGCGCGGAGTCGATTCGTTAAGGCTATAACGAATCGATTCGTTAAAGCGGGGGGCGCTTTGCGCATGCGCAAAAGCGACTTCCGAAACTTCGTTATTAAGAACTTCGTTATTAAGAACTTCGTTATTAAATATTTTGGGTTGGCAAAAGGAGCGCACTGGTTGGAACTACACAAATGATGAGCGAGCAGTGTGTGTAGCACTTTGTGTTGGCAAAAGGAGCGCACTGGTTGGAACTACACAAATGATGAGCGAGCAGTGTATGTAGCACTTTGTGTTGGCAAAAGGAGCGCACTGGTTGGAACTACACAAATGACAAACGCACACACAGCCACCGAAGACTCTTTTATTTTTTTAGAATATTTTTTTGTATTTTCAAGAATAAAACACAGGTATTTTTAGAAAATATTCAAAAATGGGAAATGAACCAAAAACTGGCCCTGATGTAGAGCTAACACAGGCAGGAGACAAGGCAATTGAGAGCACAAAACAGAAGAGTCTTTTCTTTTTTAGAATATTTTTTGTATTTTTTAAGAATAATATTAAAATAATATTAAAAATAATATTCAAAAATATTCAAAAATGGAAACTGAACCAAAAAATTGCCCTGATGTGGACCAAACACAGGCAGGAGACAGCAAATGAGAGCACACAGCAACAGAAGAGTCTTTTCTTTTTTAGAATATTTTTTGTATTTTTTAAGAATAATATTTAAATAATATTAAAAAATAATATTAAAAAATATTCAAAAATGGAAACTGAACCAAAAAATGGCCCTGATGTGGACCAAACACAGGCAGGAGACAGCAAATGAGAGCACACAGCAACATTAAAATAATATTAAATAATAATATTTAATAATAATTAAAATAATATTAAAAATAATAATTAAAATAATATTAAAAAATAATAATTAAAATAATATTAAAAATAATATTAAAAATATTTAAAAATGGAAAATTAACAAACAAATTCACAAAAACCGAAGGAAGTAATGAATCCAAGCAAGGAATATAATTAAGCAGCACTAAGCACAGCAGCAAGGAATGAATCCAAGCAAGGAATGAGCAAGGAATGAATCCAATCCAGTTGCAAGCCAAGCCAAGCCAACCCAATGCAAACCCTCCCGGACCTCTTCTCTCTCCCTCGCCCTCTGCAGCAATGAGCTGTACGGCCGCGCGGAGCCGCTTTCAAAAGGCTCGCCGGCCAATCAGAAACAGCCACGGTGCACTGCTTGGGTGCTTGGGAGCGCTGGATTGGCTCCCAGGCACCAGCAGCCTCCATCCCATTAACGAAACGAGCGGAAGCTCGTTAAATCTATGGGGGTTGCCGGTTCGATATTTTTAAACCCTTCCGGGTTTGAAAATGTGTTTTGATATCGCTTCGTAAATGCTAAAAATAACGAATTAATAACGAATTACAAACTTAACGAACGAAACCGCACAGGCCTATTGTTCCATTAAGGTTTTTCATTTTTTTGAAACAAAGTACATATACCTCAACTTCTAACAACATAATAAAAGTGTGGGATCAATAAAACTAGGAAATTAGGAAATAACATTTATGGCCCAGGAACAAAAATCATGTTACATAGTGTAATGAGATTGATATTCCAATATTTCAATGGAGATATACTATGCTGGAATGATGTCATTTTCTCAATTTCTGCCACTTCCACTAGACCAGACATGTCCAGGGTCTGGCCTGGGGATCTATTGTGGCCCTCTTTCAAATTTCCTCTCTCTTCAGGCCTCCCTTCCTTGCTTCTTTCCTTCCTCCCTTGCTTCCTTGACTTCCTTCCTCCCTTTCTTGACTTTTTTTCCTTCCTTTCTTCCTTCCTTTTTTCCTTCTTTCCTTCTTTCCTTCCTTCTTGGGGATCAGGGCGCCAGAAAAGGTGGACTTCTCAGGAGGAGAGAAAGAGAGATGGCTGCCTCTAGTGTCCCTTCATTCCGATTAAGCGTCACCTTCTCCTTGGGTGGTTCCTGTCTCGGGCATCCTGCCCCAGTGGCCTGTTTGTTCTCGTTCTCTCTTTCTCTCTCTCTCTCTCTCCACTTGCAACTTTTTCTTTATTTCTTTGCAAAGGAAGGTTCTCCAAGTCAACCCCAGGCACTTTCTGATGGTGGTACTTCTGCTGCATGGTTGGGAAAGGCAGGCCCTGGCTTCCCTCCCTCCCTTCCTTCTTTGGCCCACCTTCGTCCCATGTCACCTCTCCATGTTTTCAAAAAGGCTGTAACTTATCCCTTGGGAAGAAAAGGGGAGAACCAGAGGCAACTATAAGCCCCCCCCCCCACYACAATCAAGGCTCTCCCAGCAGATGAAAAACCACCAGAGAGTGAGACTCCACCAGACTCTGAGGCTGCATATACCACTGTCTGAAACAACTTGAAGGCACACAACAACAATCCTATCTAACTTGACTCTCTCATCAGCCAAAAGCAGACCCACACTTCCCATTGAAAGAGTGGTACTTTTATGTTGGTTAAAATTGTTCATTGTTTTATATATTGTATTGTTTTATCCCATTTTTGGCACTATACATATGCAGTGTGCATAGGAATTTGTTTATGCATTTTTTAAGCTATAGTCTGACACACACACATCCTCCCCCACAACACGCTGAGGGACCGGCTTAAAAAGTTTAGATGCTCCTGCTCTAGAACAAGGCAAAACAAAGTTGAAGGGAAAGAGATGATGTTGAGTTGTCATGAGTTTGCCCTCAGGCAGAGTGTTTGAAAGAGAAGAGATTTAATGAATATTCAACTCTATGCCATTTCAAGGATTGATTCAATGCTTCTGTGCTTGGTGGACCTGGATATTGTCTCTTTAATCTCAATAAAGGTGAGATCCAAGTTACAAATAGAAATATTTCAGCAAGGGAAGAGATGTAGCATTTTTACTTCGGATTTACTTACTAAAAAGAAAACACGTACTTTTCAGCAGAAAATAGTGTAATTGGCAACAATTTACTCAATAGCATAGAATTATATGCTCTACTGGATTTTAAATATTTGTTGTAAAGTGGTATTTCTACAAACTTGTTTCTATTTTGTTCCTTTGACAGTGATGACGGTAGTCAGCATACCTTCAAGAAGGACCCTTTCCAGATATTAGAAAGCATTGTCTGTGCTGTCCATACAAGTGCTGAGAATGGGTGAGAGCTTTTTGAGTCACTCGTAACCATGATAACTGATGCTAACCTTATTGCAAGACTTATGTACTGAACATATAGTAATGGAGAAAGCAGTTTAGTATTGATGATCTTTTGCAAAACTAAGTGCTTTGAATGTGATTTTCCTGCTTCTTGGCAAGGGGTTGGACTGGATGGCTCATGAGGTCTTTTCCAACTCTACGATTCTGTGATAACTGTATAATCCATCTTTATATAGTATATTGATTCAATTTAACACAGAGTATTTCCTGAATGGATAGATAAATATTAAAAATATACACATGCACCCTGAACAATTTAAGCTATTGCTTTTCACCCGGTATTGAAACACAGAAACACATATCAAGATTAGCACTTGCCACCCATTGAGTTCCCTCAGTGCGCACATTCAGAGGAAAAAAACAAGCCCTAAGAATGGCATCACAGCAGATAGATGGATTCTAATAGCACAGGGTTGGTCATGCACTGAAGATTGGAGGGCCATTTTTGGGCTTCTATCCATCCCATGTAGAGAATGGGACATTTTCAGCAACAGGAAGTCATGTTCCTAAAATACTTGCCAAACATTTTTGGGATGATTTTCTGTTTTGAGGGGAAGAGATGTGGCATTAGAACACATTTTTTCCTTATTTGTCATCCCAAAAATGTTTTAAATTTATGGACTGAGTGCGGGACAAAACTCATAAATAGCACCCCTGCAATTGTATGCCACACAGTTGTGGCTTTTGTACTAAAAAGTCTCAGTTTCTGTAGAAAAAACTTCATTCAGAATGGTGTTGTATAAAATCTACCTTGAAATATTATTATGACCATGAACTAAATGTTATTTGCTTCAGCATACTTTGGTTATTGTAGAAACTAAATATAAATTGTCTCCTTCAGGAAATAGTTGTCAGTTGAAAAATGAACTTGCCTAACTTTTTGAAGCCAGGGTCTCCACAGTAACTTTTTAATTTATCAGCCTATAATTTACATTTTGAATACCGCTCACTCTGAAGCTGTATTTCTAATTTAGCACGGGTTCTCTGAGAGATGGAATAGAAAGAGAATAGCAGAGACTAAATAAATTTTGAGGTTTTCACAAAAATGATAACTTAAACTGTCAGCTTATATTATTTCAGCACCTCCAAATAGGTTGAATTGGTGTTTTCTGACGATATTACTTTCCCATCTGTCTTGTTAGGATGAATATGGCAACATTAGTTATAATATAAATCACATTCTACCTGGAGATTCTTTTCTTTGGAAAATCCTGGTGTCATTTTGAAATATTGCCAATGAATATCTGAACATTATTTACACATTTGTATAGAGTTATTTGGAGCTAGTAAAAAGGGCAAAGGAATGTGTGTGTGTGCGCATATGCACACATAAAATTGATGAAAGTCTTTCAGTAAACTTAGTACTGCAAGCTGCAATCATATTGAGATTGTTCTAATATATATTCCATCAGACAAAGGACTTTATGATAGATTAAAGCAGTTTGGTGTTCATACTGCAGCCGGAACATTGTTTTATGAAAATAAGTGTTGTCATTTGCCACTTCCTAGGTCAACTATGGTTATTTGTTTCCAATCAACTAAAAAAAAAAATCCTACTCACTTTACTTCCTCTTGTGCATTGAAGTTAGCAACATCATTTTTCTTCCTTCCTTCAGAGGTCTTGTTGGGTTCTTTGTATTTCTTCCCAATAGCCAACAATACATTTATATTTATTGAGCAAAGTTTGTGATAGAACAAGCAAGATTAATGTGTGTTGGCCTGGTAAACAAAAAAAGTGATTCTCTCTGGAGAAGATGGGGAAAGTTAAGCAATATGCAGCTCACTTTCTCAAAAAGCTAAAATGGAAAGAAAGAGACTACAGTACTCACTTTTCCAACCTTCACTCATCTAACATTCCTTATTATCCAACGCACTCTGCCTCCCACCTGGATCCACAACTATTTCAATATATTGAGATGTTTTGGTGCTAAATTCGTAAATACAGTAATTACTACATAACATTACCATGCATTGAACTGATTTTTTTGTTGATTTGTTGTAAAACATGATGTTTTGGTGCTCATAACGTAATTTGATGTTTAATAGGTTTTTCCTTAATCCCTCCTTGTTATCCAACATTTTCGCTTATCCAATGTTCTGCTGGCCCGTTTATGTTGGATAAGCAAGACTCTACTGTATTACTTGGGAGAAGGATAAATGTGGGTGGAAAAGACAAAGTAAGCCAGTGGAAATGGCATGGATTTTCAAAGGTGTCATGGGTCATATGTGGAAAGAGCATGGGAGAACATCACTGTGTGATGTCTGAATCCAACTTTCAACTGTCCGCAGAGCAAATCTCATGGAAATTAGAAAGGAAGAAAATAAAGTATCATACAAAAAATTGTAATTATTTGCTTCCACAGAGGAATTTGTACAAGACCATCTGAAGAGAACACAGAAACAAAAAAGCTTTTGAGCAAGCTTTAGTAGTGATAAAACAAGAGAAATGCTGAAAATGTTGAAAAAGAAAATGTTTTTTTTCCTAGATATTTTGCTCCTTAGGCATCACTTGGTTTCTAGGAAATGAAACATTCTGTCATTGATCTTCTTTCTCTAAAATTCCTTGGTTGTTTTTCTTCTTTTTCTCCTCTGTCTATTGATCTTGTAAGTGCTAACATATATATAAAACCTTTTAAGATGAATTTGAAATGAGACATTAGCATCTGATCAGAGCATTTGGATCAAATATGTGTGTGTTTGATCTCTGGAGTGTTGATTGGGAGCGAGTGACTAGTGAAAAAAAATATATACAAGTGCCTTTTTTGTTTTTAGAGAACTAAGCTGTAAACAGGTTGATGTTTCTTTGTAGAAGAGCCCATAGGTATTGCTCATGAACAGTTCAGTAACTAGGCTCAAAAGCATGGTGCTGTGAAGCATATTGTTTTCATGTGACTTGCACAAAGGTACGCTTTGCCATTTATTCAAGCAGGTGTTGGTAAGTGATAAAATGTGGGAGAAGAATCCAGAAGAATATATGGAATTTAGAAATGATGCCGACTTTAGAAATCTGGAAATCCCAAAATTATTTAGGGCACTAGAAACAAAAAATGGGCTACAGATGAATGATCTCTTCAAACTAGGAAATCTAGTTGTAAAATGATAATGCAGATGATTGTAAAGTGATGCATATTGTGGCAAAATAATTGCAGCTTCAGATACACAGTTTTGGCTTCAGTGCTGGTGACAACTGCCCAAGAACTTTTGGGAGTTGCAAAGGAAAGATAGGATATAGATATGTAAAATTATGTATTGAGTAGAGAAAATAGATATGGAAAAGCTTTTAAATCAACTGTTGAGTTTTATTCCAACACTTGTAGTTGTGGTTGCCCTTAAAAGAGCATAGAATAAACCCAAGGAAGATTTATTTATTTATTTATTTAGAGCATTTGTATCCTGTCCTTCTCAACCCCTGAAGGAGGACTCAGGACAGCTTACAACTGGCAGTGATTAGATGCTGACAAAGAAACAGTTAGAACACAACAATTCACATAAACAAGTCAACAGCAATAAAAATACATTAAAAAACAATTAAAATACATTAAAAATATTGGATCTTAAAATATTAACACAACCAAGTCTGAGTCCGCAAATCCAAATCATAGTCCAGAATTCCAGTCCAAGGCCTCTTAATTGACAATTCTCACGAGTCATTACAGTTGTTGCTCAGTCAGCTGCCCGAATGCTTGGTCCCAAAGCCAAGACTTGAGTTTCTTCTGAAGGAGAGGAGAGAAGGAGTTGCCCTGATTTCACTGGGGAGTGCATTCCACAGACGGGGGCCACCACCAAGAAGGCCCTGTCTCTAGTCCCCGCCAGTCACGGGGTTGGCATCATTAGGGGCTCCTAGGCATGGTAGATAAATATTATCTTCGGTTTCTGTGATAATATGCCTTTGTATATAGTTTCATGGGTTGAGAGCGGCGGTCAACAAATGAATTAAATAAATAAATAAATAAATTTGAAAAGAAGAATGTATTCAGTCTTCCCTTAAACAAGACTAATATGTAAATAAAATACTGGAATAGAAAAGTCTTTGCTCTAATCCACTGTGGCTCTTCATATGTTCTTTATATGGATTGGCATTTTTAAACCCTGGGTGGTGATCCTTTTCTCTGTTCAGTTTGTTAATTATATTTTCTGCTATCCAGCCTTATTTATAGGATGAACTTTGAAACATAGTAATCATACAGCATAGAAATGATACTCCGCTTTTTTAAAAAAAAAATTGATATCTAAATCAGGAGCCCCTGGTGGCGCAGCAGTTTAAACTGCTGAGCTGCTGAACTTGCTAACCAAAAGGTCAGTGGTTCGAATCTGGGGAGTGGCATGAGCTCCCTCTGTTAGCCCCAGCTTATGCCAACCTAACAATTTGAAAACATGCAAATGTGAGTAGATTCATAGGTACCGCTCTGGTGGGAAGTAACGGCACTCCATTCACTCATGCTGACCACATGACCTTTAACTTCAGCTGGGATCTTTAGTTTAAAACAGTTAACTTTTTTAAATTGAAGGTGAAATACTAGGATGGGGTAGTTGGAATTATTTTAAAATTCATTTCTGATGAGTGTCTTTATTTGACTGCAGTGAGAACCTTGTGTCTTCGGATGATCTTCTCAATTGGCTTCGACCTTTCTGCGGCAATGATTCTTTGCCGGTGAAACCCCGCATTAAAGTGCTGCAGATTTTGGAACAAGCTTTTCACCTCAGTGATGAAGACAGCAAGCTCCTCGTGCTCTTTAGGACTCAAGCTGTTCTCAAAGCGTGTTGGCCTCAGACTCAGGTAGGCCATCTTGTATGATATTTGTCACATCATTCACTTCAAATTAAATAGAAATCACCTGTCCTTGAAAATCAGTACTTTTTCAGTTCTTTAGTGGACTTTCTCAAAATTTTGAAGACATGACTGTTTTTCTTCTTGAAATGATTGGTGCATGTCATTTTTAAAAATTTTGAATTCCTGGCTTGTTGTGTTATAAATTATATTTTCATTAAGTAAAAGTAGCAATTGCAATGCTTGGCTTATGTTGCATAGAAAGTCACATACATTTGCAACTGGGACATTTGGTTGATCCTCAGTTAAAAGTGCAGTAAAGGTAGAAAAACTTTAATAAATTGCAAAAAATTCAAAACTTTGAAAGAGCTCTGACATGGACTGGTCCATGAGATCACAAAGAGTCAGAAGTGACTGAACGAATAAACAGCAAACTATAGAATTTTATCTTTTCCTATGTTATTATAAACCGAAATCACAATTTTAAAAAGAGAGGGAACAACTAGAAGGTGAAAATAATTGAAAAGAAAAGGGGTTTTATAGCATATTGCTTTCTAAACTGTTGCTTTCCAGTAGAAATCCATCCTATCACTATTTTCTCTTTTGATCCTGATAGATAGATTATGAGGTGGCATTTTCTGGTGCTCATATAATGGCCTTAAACAGAAAAACCCATAAGCATTGTTTTACAGGGTTTGTCAATCACAATGACACAAACGGCTCCTCTGGGATTTTCAACCAGTTGCTATTACTTGCAGTCCCAATGAATTGGATATTTTGAAAAAGAGAACATTACTTCAGAAATAAAAGCTGTGCTGTCTTATCTGCTCAATTTAAGACAAGAGAGAACATTTAACCCCTACAATTATTTTAAGAGATAGACAGTGCAAGGGCAAATATGCTCATATCTGTAAGCCCTGATGTAACAAATGAGTGTAATTAAAATATTTTACCATATCCTGAAAGCTTTTAAATCTGAATGGAAATTATTAATGATGGGAAAACATCTCTTTCATAACAGTTGTTATGTTTCCCTCACCAATTTTCAGCAACTTGTACACGATGGAAATGTCATTTCTCATTACAAATTCAGAATTTCTATTAAGAAATTTAAAATAATTATTGCCCCCCCCCCCTTTTTTTTTATTCCAATTCCTTCTCAAAAGTAGATTCTCTGTTGCCCATTTCCTTCCCCGTGCCTGGAGGGACTCCAGACAATTCAAATGATGGATGTGGTTTCTTATTGTGTAAAGATAATTTCAATGATATTGCAATGTTCAATTACTAGAACGTGTGTGAAAACCACCCTTGGTGTGTCTAAGTAATCCTCTTAGCCAGGCTTTGCATACATCAAAGTGGGACTTAATATTTAATTATGCTTTAGGTGCTATAAGTTAGTGGTCCCACAAATCAATGTAGTGCTGGGAAACAGGCCAGCCTGTACAAAATTAAAAATGTGTTTTATGGAGGCAGCCACCTATCTCACTGTTGGAAGTGCAGCAATTTCCAGCGCTCTAATGATTAGTTAACAAAATTAAAAATTCAGATGTCCTCATATTTTAAAAGGCTTGAGAGATGTTAATTCATATTCTAATAGCATCCCATTGGGAAATGACGGTGGGATGGGGAGGTGAGTGTGACACACAGGGCGAGATGTGTTGTTCTTAATCCCCCTGATACATTTTATCAGAGCTCTTCAGGTTCTGTAATTTTCTAGTTAACCGAAGCATTAAAAATGTGCCTCAAAGTACTCCTCCTTAAAACACCCCTGTTTTAAGTTGAAGTGTGTGTGGAAAAAAGTAAGCTGTAAGCTGTGCAGTTCCTTTACTTTAGTATATATAGTATATAATGTGGATGTCATGGGTAATTTTCTCCCACTGATAGTCTATTTCTGTGCCGCACTTTTCTGGTTTCTTCATAGGTAATTATAAACACACTTTTTGGTGTAAAGGTACTATTCTGAGAAAGGCAAAATCCCACAAAGGCACCTTTGGGCCATGGAATACATTGCATACACATTTTGAGCAGCATGAAGAAAGGAATAACTCACTTCGCGTACTGGAGTTTTTCAGAAGATAGTTTCAAAATACTATTTTTCCTGCTTGTATACTGAATAAATTTGGCATATCCTCAGTGATGTCATTACATAGCCATCATCATAGGCAATCCCTCAGGGTTGAGTATGATTGCCTTCCAAGTGGAGGGTCTTGGCAGTGGGTCCATAGGTGACTGTAGAGACCTATACTTGATCTGCACATTCTTTTGCAATGAAGGCATCCATTTCCAGATGGAAGGCAGTTCCGACGGGATTGGATAATGTGCCTTCCTCTTGACATGTTTCTCTCTTTTGTCCTCCATTCGTGTCTCTTTGAATTCCATTGCACTGTTTGTAACAGCTGACATCCAATTAAAATGCTCGGGGGGCAGGGTTTCCCAGTGTTTGGTGTCTATGCCACAGTTTGGTGTCTATGCCACACTTCTGAATTGACATTATTATTTGAAACACAACAAGATGAGCCCACAGCAGACAAGATCACTCTGGGGCTGTTGAATTTCACACGTCGGACACTTTCCAAGTGTCTAGGACTGTGTGATGTATTGGCGAATAATGTGTGCAGATCCCAGTAAGGTGGTCTTTTGCAGCTGGCAGATGGTAATTTTGTCAGCGCCTATTGTGTTTAAGTGCAGGCCAAGGTCTTTAGGCACTGCACCCAGTGTGCCGATCACCACTGGGACCCCTTGACTGGCTTGTGCCAGAGTCTTTGCAGTTCGATCTTTAAATCCTCATATTGTGTCAGTTTTTCCAGTTGTTTCTCTTCAATCCTGTTGTCACCTGGGATTGCAACATCGACAATCCATATTATTATTATTTTTATTATTATTAGTAGTAGTAGTATTTTATTTATATTCCGCTCTATCTCTCCGAGGGTACTCAGAGCGGATTACAGAATACATGTATGGCAAACATTCAGTGCCAGTATACAATTAACAACAAAGACAGGCAGTACATAGACAGAGGCAAGGCTTCCCTCTTTTTCACCTCTAGCATTTGGAGACTGTGCTGTACTTGACCATGACGAGGTGCCGACATTCCACAACAAGGAGCCTGTTGTCCCTGGAAGCCTTCCTGATTGAATTGCCAGCATGTCTTCAGGGGCACCTTTTACCTTCCTGCCAAAGCGGTACCTATTTATCTACTCACATTGCTGAATTCTGCTAGGTAAGCAGAAATTAGGGCTGATGGTGGGAGCTAACCCTGACCCTCAGCTTGAACTGCCAACCTTCCGAATTTTTCTGTAGCTGGCAGTATAACCCGCTGTGCTAACTACAGCTCTGAAGTGTACACTTGTGATGATATCATTCACTACTATACTGTGACTATTTGGACTTATATACAGATAAAGAGTTTATCTAACAAGATAGTTTTTTTAATGGTACCATATCAACAGTAGGTAGGGTAAACTATTGCATTGGGGTCACATCTACACTGACAACTTGGGTCAGTTTGGAACTAGTTTGGGAGGAATCATCACTGTGTGGATTATTGGCTTGACATCATTATCATCACTTTATTAATTGCTTCTCCTTTCAGTTCAAGGTGGTCTACAATAGGGTTTGAACATTGATAAAACCCAACACTATTAATATATATAACAAAATGAACAGAATAAAATGTAGGTTAAAATTCCCACCTTAAAATTGCCGGGATGAGTCTGCTGGAAGAGACAGGTCTCCAGTTCCATCTTGAATTCTGACAGCTGATTTAACATGTCTAGAAAAGGTTTGAGATTGGGATGGTGATTACATTAATAATAGAACATGGCCTCAAATCGGTTCCAGAATCTACAGGATTTTTTAAATTATTATTTCTGGGTGAAATGTGCACCAGTGCTCTGGAGGCATAAGAGCATGGGGAGAGGAGTGACAGTTAACAGTAGAGGTAATAAATTACCGATCCCATGGGGTGAATGAGCCCAGAAATGCCCTTGGTGTGTTTTTGCTGCCCGTGTTCCCGCCCCTTCCTTCCAAGGCTAAAACATGATCCAGGTTTCTACAATATGCTTCGCATTTTTGTGGAGCTGATTTCACCATGCAATTTGGTTTAGGACTCACTGAAGCAGTTTAAAGGGTTTAACTCAGACTATCTCCAAAAGTTTGTTTGATATACTTTAAACCCTTTAATGTGTGCTGCAGCGCACTTCAGCAGTGTACATTTTGTAGCTGCCACAGTGTGAAGTCAGCTTCAAACTACATTAAATGGTCAGTGTAGGTGTGCTCTGAATAGAAATGTCTATGGATAAATAATCTCAAAAAGTAGGGTTGTATGTGTGTGAAATATTTCTCATTCCTCTCTCACAGCATTACTTTTGATCCAAAAAGCAAATGAAGAATAAGCAACTATAAAGGACAGCAACATTGTTAAAATAAAATAAAATAATTGGTGCCAATGACACTTTTAATAGTGTTTGGAAACTTTTTGTTTCTCAGAATAGTTTTTTGTATATTAAGCAGTGGGTCTATGTAATGTTTTCTTTTTAACATAGAATCAAATTTTGGACAGACCGCTTTATGTGCAGTACTCTGCCCTGTACTTGCTACTAGTAAGCTGGACTTGGAAACTGTGTTTTTAGCAGTGACTTCAGACTTCTTTAATTGCAGCCGAAACATATATTTTGAAGAATTGAATTGCTTTTCTCTATTCCCTTCTAAATGACAGATATGTTCTAAATTGTAAAAATATAAAGGACCTTCAAAGAAGATATCCTGATTTTTTGGATATAAGTTAGACTAGGCCTGTGTAAACCTGTGACCAACCAAGCTAAATGTAGGTCACCTACTAAAAGAGTAGATCCATATCTTATTTTTGCTCCATAGACCAAAAGGCCATCAGAAGCCTTCTCCAACCTATTCCTTTCCAGAATGTTGGACTGAAAGTCCTTATCATTCCTGAGCTAATGGCTGCAGGAAGGTGAGGATGACAGAGGGATGCCTGCAGTTGAAGCTGAATC